GAGGTCCGAGCAGTGAAGGTGTTGCGAGCAGTTTTGCAAGAAACAGGCCGGACCAGGATTGTTGCTCGTGTATTTATGCGAAAGCAAGGGGTGTAGGCCGTGTAGGCATGATGCAAGCGCCTTGAACGGCGCCTTGGTAGGTCAGAACCTGGACGAAGCACAGGCCGCGGCAAGAGCTTTGCTAGGCGGGGCTGATGTGTTAGGCTATCCCGGAAACTGCCTTAAAGGTTGCAGTGGTTCAATTGCTGTGCAGATGGCCCTGCAGCTCGTTCTTCTTGCAATATGCACCAGGAACTGCAGCAACTTGTTTTGACGAGTTTGCACAAAAAACAGGCGTTGCTGGCCGTTCGTGTGGTTTGCGACAAGCCGAGGCTACTTGTACAGGGTATGGACACCAAGCAGTGGAAATCTCAGATTGCGACTGGCTTCGAGCAAAAGGAAGAGCAATGGCAGATTTGATGACCGAGGCTTTGCACAGAAATGGATGCTGCTGTTGATGATGGCTGGTCGCCAGGCCCACGATGGTGAGGTTGTCTCTAAACAAGCGAGGGGCAATTATGCAGGCACATTTCGGTGGCCAAGCCGGATCTCATTGTTCGGCTCTTAAAATTGTGTAGATGGCACCTTTTGCGGCGAAATGGAGCAGCTGGAATGCTGAGGCCAAAATTGCCTGATGGGAAAGGTTCAGCGGGTCTGACCGAGAAAGGTGGGAACTTCCATGCGGCGGGGCATGTTGGCAGCGGAGGGCTTGCACGATCTTGCACGTGGAGGTTGGGGCCCATTCCTGTCCTGGCCCAAGCAAGGTTTCTATTCGAAAGCATGCCAAAACCAGTTCTACAGGTCGTTGTAAGCGACTAAAGGCGCGATCGCGGTGGTGAGGAGCTGATCCAAGCGGCGCGAAGCAATGCCACGGACCAAAATGGCATCAACACTTGATGGCCTGCATTTTGCTTTGCGCGTCCGCTGGCTGGGGCGAGGCCATAATGCTGGATGCCTTATCCTTCCCTTTATCCATGGCAGGCATCTCAGGGGCGAAGGCTGCATTTTCGCACCGTGAGCTGGAAGATTCTTTGCGCATCAGCCAATTTCGGCAGACCAGGCGTGGTTATTGAACCAAGAGTCCATTGATGGGGCCCAAGAGCACATGTGTGTCGTCCAGCGCCAGAAAATGTTTGTCGTAAAACGGTATCGCCAGACCCTGAAAAGATTGCTTGTGCAGAGGTCCAGTGGCCAAAGGAGCCTCAGGCAGTGGATTGGGAGTTGCTCGACATATGGTCATCGCTGATTCGAGCCCTAGAAGCCCTCGCAGCCCCTAGCAGTCCTACCCAGTAGCACCATTGAGGCTTCACTTGGTCGTGCTTGGTGCCACCTCCAAAGCCGAGGCGCTTCCTATGCTTTCCTGATTCTCCTTGTGCTGTTATCCCTTGTGCCAATCTTGTCCTGTTTGCTGGCGAGATTTTCGCAGACGGCCAGGTGCGCGTTCGACGAGCCCATGGGTCGCTTTCAGGTATTACAATGTCGCCCTCAGTCAAAGACCGGACGCCCCTTCCACACGCTGTTGCGAATCTGAGGACTCCAAGTACTGGGATGAGACCTAGCGTGCAAGCATCATGTCATGGTGTGGAAGCCCTATAGTTCCGGTTACTTTGATTTGCTTGGCATTCTCGAGCCGATCTGCATGCTCATAGCCAAGGAGCTGCAAAGCTTTCTCAAGCATCGGTGCCGTGTCCGGCTTCATTTCGTTGGACCCGAGTCTTGACCGCTGTGGCCATTCTTGTTCGTTATATCATGGACATGATGCATGCATTCCGGTTCACCTTGGCCTTTCTCCCAAGGAGATTTCTTCACATGATTCTTCGAATTTGTCGGAAGCTTGCTGCCAAAACAATGTCATGTCTTACAAGGGAAGAAGTGCCGGATTCGCGCAGCGGCTTGGTACGGTTCATGAGCATTCTTCAGCATGAATGCGCAGCAAACCGAGGAAGTGCATCAAGTAGAGCTGGGACCCTGATCATCCTTGCTCCTTCTCGGCCTTTGCTATTGCACGCAGTGAAGCCATGCGTGCTCGATATCGGCAAATAGCTGAGTACATAGGCGAAGGTCTGTGCGGAACTTCTCAATTCGGAACGTGCCCGTGAGTGTCGCTTTTTGATTATGAAGTCGTGTTTTCTTTGTTGTTTCTGTGGCATCCATTTGTGATGTGTATGATACCCCGCGAGGCAGTTGAGCCAGCCCTCCGTCAGCAAATGGGATCGCACGTCCAAGGCTGTAGAATTCGGCCGTGGCCTCCCAGCCCTTCGAGCTCGTAGACGATCGTTTCTGAGGGAACGTTTGCAACAGCACAAAGCGACTTGATCCCAGCGGCGTTGATTAACCAAAAATCACCACCAACTGGGTTCATTCCATGTGTAAGGGTTGAAGGAACATGTTGTTTCTCCCCTCACCTTCTTCCGATGTCCAAGGCGAAGTGGGCATGAGTTTGAACCTAATCGTATGTTGAAAATTGATGCTTTCGGTGTTTCAAGTTGGCCAGTTTGTGTTCCAAATTGACGCTTTCGTGTGTTTGGTGTTTTGCTGGTATCAGCGGGCCACATCGTGCAGGGGGACAAGTGAGGTAAATTCGTCACTACTCAACGACCCCTTCGGTTTTGTCATCGGGAATGAATTGTTGAAAAGCCCGTGCTCAAGACCGCGCAGTCCAAGGCTTGGACCCAAATTTCCTGAAGGCATGCCCTGGTTGTTCCCGAATGTTCCCGAATGTTCCCGAGAAGAAGGCGTATCAACAAATCGCATGAAGTGCTTCTGTGGCACTAAAGCTTGCGATAGAGCTGCATGTGCTGCCGTGCCACCTTTTCTGAGTGGAGCAAGGCCACCCTGCGCTGAACAATTTTTCCGACAGCGCCCTGATCTTCGTCCGGAGCTACTTCCTTTGCACCAGTTCTTGAGGGTTTGTACACAAGCATAGCATAGCCGAGAAAGTCCACGGGTGCATCTGGGAGGAAGTCGAATGACTAAAACTAGAACCTCGGGCCCTTGGGCGATGGCCACAAAGCTTTGACATGAGACATGGAGAATGGCGGCGCTGACATCATCTGCAGCGCCCTGTGTTAAGATGACGACAAGTGGTGCGTTGTTCTTTTCGTCGTGTTGGAATGTTGATTTAATATCGTCTCCAGAGTGCGCAACATCTTTGGGGCTTGTGGCCGATGCTCACGAACAAATGTGTAGTTATGTGGCTGTCGGGAGCAGCAAGCCAACTGCAGCCTTTGCAGTCGGCGTGCACACCTGCTCCCAGGAACACTGTTTGTGCGGCTCCTTGATTGCAGTGGTGCAGGCAATTTCCCTCCACAGTCAGTTTGGATGGCTTTGCATGAAGGGTCGAGAACCATTCTCAGAGACTCTAACTGCGAGGTTTTCAACGGGGGCTATGGAAATTTTGTGGCTTCGGGGCGCGACGAGCTTCTCTGGAGTTGGCTGCCGGATCAGTCCTGAGGGGGACAGCGCACGCGCAAGTGTCTCTCTCTCTCTCTTTTTTCTCCTCTCTCTCTCTCTCTCTCTCTCTTGGGGTCGAATTGAGCAAGCTGTAGTAAGGATTTGCTGTTCTTGGCGAATTCGCTCGAGCCTAAAGCAGCGAAAAGTAGGGAATGGATTTTGTGCAAACATTGACTGCAGTGGAAATGCCATCTGATGCTGCTAGGCGATACTTGTGTGCCTTCTTCTGTGCCAATGATTATGCCGACCTGCGAGGGGAGGCAGATCATAAGGTTGTGTGTTTCATGGCCTACCACGATGTCGACATTGCAGGTTGCCGTGCACGCGGCTCTTGTCGGCTCCAGCTTTGTGCTCCCTCCTCGCACCCCCCTCAGGAACTGGCAAGATTGACAGAGCTAGTCAGCAGTGCAGCAGTGCAGCAGTGATCTGCCTGTTGCTTTTGAAGTAGATAGCAACTTCGATGTGGCCTGGCCAGCAGGACACGTCGGAACAAACAGAGACGTGCGATATGTTGTCAGGATGTTATGTGTTGTCACTGCTCTCTCTTTCAATCTTTCAGTGCGCGTAGTGACATGATGGAACTTCAGTGGCCGAAAATGGACACTTAAGGCCAAAATCCCTTCGCAATGGCCACCGTGTATTCTGGAGAGGACGCTTATTCCAACATCTTGTTTTGACACGCAAGAGGCCTTGAAGCCTGGGGAGGACAATTCTGGGGAGTGGTTCTCTGGCAATGCCTACACCTTTGCCACATGCGGCTACGAGTGACTTCGTTGGGAGTACGACACCCACAGAGAGATAATCAAAGGAGCGTTCGTTTCTGTTTTGTTGTTTTTCTTTCCTGTCTCCGTTTGCGGGCAGGCCTGTAGGACAATATTGTCGCGACCTTACTAGTAGTTAGATTTGGAGATTTTCTATGAACTCATCAGTCACTAGCGCCGCAAAAGAACGCAAAACAGAACATGGTCTCTCCCTTCATGGCTCCGTGCTGGCTGTCGTATTGAGCCAGCGTAGGCCCCAAAAGCATCAAACCACGCCAAAACCATGCTTTCCAAGAACACCGAAAAGAACTCCAAGAGTACCAGACGTGCAAAAGTGGCAGTATTGTTTCCTGAGCCCAGAAGTCCAAAAGCGAAGACATCCGAACTGGGAATCTCCATTATCTTGCGCAGAACCTCACAGCACAGCAGTGTCCATGTTGAGAGGCGCCGAAAATGCTATGCTTGCCAATGACACTACGTTTCGGGAATCCTCAAGAACTCCACGGCCATTCGTGCAAGGCTAAAAAACATACCATGGCCTGGGTGTGGGGCAAAGGGCGGGGCAAAGGGCGGGGCAAGGGGCGGGGCAAAGGGCGGGGTTTGGTGTATTTGTAGGTTTTGGGTCGTGGCTTTGGTTAGGGTTCTGTTTTGGGATTTTGGTGGAGAGTTTTGACATGTTTTGTGTTTTGGTGTATTGGAAGGGTTGTCTGTGCTGGTTGAGAATTGGTGTTGGCTTGCTTGCTAAGGATGCCGCGCCGCCAAGCTACGGTGCCTTGATCATGTCCCTTTCGTGACACATCTTCTTGCTTTCGTTCTGAAGCAAGATGATGCCCAGAGTGCTTCTGATTCTGTCTGAGGAGTCAAGACCCACAGGTTCTGCTCGGAAGCGGCTTGCGGCTGCCGTCAGCCGACCAAGCGACATCGTGCAGCAATGCCAGTGGGTAGTATACGAAAGAGCCGCCCCTGCTTTTTCTTTTTTCGCCTGAGGTGCTAGCTCAGGTGCAAAGGTGCCAGGGCCAAGCACTGCCTGTGATAGAGGCGCCAAATGCTTGAGGTTTTTGGCTGCGCCTCACCTCTGTCACTTAACAGGCCTCGCAGAAGCTTCCCCCTGCAGAACTCGGTGCAGTGCCAGGCCAAGTTGAAACTTGACAACCAGAGTAGTCTTTCGTATGTACAGTCATGCACATCTATGCATCAGAACCTGAAGGTGTCGGCTGTGCCACATGTCGAATTTTGCACTGGTGCGCCGACGGTTCAAGCTTCTTGAATGCCAGCTCCAAACCATTGTGTGTTTCCAGAATCTGGCAGATAAGTAGCAGCAGAGAGGCATAACTGGCAGAACATTCACATGACACCGTTGAACGGAACATCTTGGCCTTATGCTAGCCAGCAGCCCATGATTTTCTGCAACGTGGTGTAGTTTCGGAGGAGCATGGCCATGGAAGCCGAAGGTTCAGAGGATCTTACGTACTCTGGACCAGACTTTCCCGAAGAACTAGACGAATTCCTTGCTTACGGTGTGAGGGAACATAACGGCGACTTCGAGGCAAGCAACTTCGGTCTAAATTCTCGCTTGTGCATCTGGCCCAAGAGAGAGTGGGAAAGAGAGAGCCCGGAAGCTTTCTAATGACAGAGCACAGGGAGCGGTGGTTGTGGTTGTCTGGTTGGGATGGTGATTTGGGGCGATCAACCAAGCTCCATACTGAGTCCAAGTGCTGCTTTCACACCAGTTGGCTTGGATGCGTCCCTTCCTTCCCCTCGGGGGGAGGGGGGGAGGGGGGAATATGTGCTGAAAGGAAGGAAGGCAGAAAGGGAGAAAGGGAAAACATTAGAACTTGCAAAGGCCAACCCCGGGCATGCATGTTCCTGTGTATTCTCATGCCAACCTTTAAACCTAGGCGCACCCGGCGCGCGGGGGCGATCCTCAAGCCCCGAGAACATTGACAAGCAAGTAGGTGTACTGCCCTTGAAAAGTGCAGGTGTAGCCCTCCGACTTACCCTGAAGGACAGCTCCAGAAGCCCCAAGGTTGACGAAAAGAGGGGGAAATGGTTTCAGGGGGCAAATCTCCAAGGATCTCTAATGCAACCCTGACTGCTTTGCAATTGACAATCGAAGCATGTCAACCCCCCTCTCCTTCATGTGGGACATGCTCTGAGTTTGCAGGTCTTCCTGATTCCTGAGACTGCCTTAGAACTCGCTGAATTTGGCAAGCTTCAAACAGCATTACTGCAATGCTGAGCTAGCAAAACGAGCGAGCTACAAAGTTCTTGACAAAGAAGAAAAACCAACATCCTTCGTTCGGATATTGGATATTGCGCGTGTAAAGTAACCGTGGGAAGATTTCGGGGAGATCGTTCTGGTGGAATGCATGCAACGAAGAGACACCGGTTCCGAAATGCAGCTTCTTACAGAGGCTCAAAGTGTGGGGACCATCGCGGAATTTGCAATTTTGTGTATACGAAGCTGCACCGCGGCGATTGTGTGGTTGTCTCGGTATGTGGTGATGACAGAACGCACCGCCACATCTTTGATTCAATGCTGTTTTGGCACACCATGGAATACCACACTCATGCTTCTTGCTGCACCTCTGAAGCTAGTTCTCTGCGGACCTCAACAGACGGGCTTTCCCTCGATGGTTCGGACTTGGGACATTGGCCTAGATCGATTGCGCAACTCGTGTTCCCTGCTCCACCCGGGAAAGGAAAGGGGCCTGAGGTGAAGTGTGGCAAGCTGTCGTGTTGTGATCCTTTGAGCCTTTCAGTCGCTGTAGTGGTGGAAGGGCAGGTTTTTCGCGGGATCTGCGAGATTGTTCTCTTCTGAAGTGAATTGGCCCTGGGCCGGAGGAGTACGAACATGTTTCTGTACGCATTTCCTCCTATAGGCTGTAAGTGCTTGAGAAAGAAGCCCGCCTGATTTACAAAGACGGACTGTCCAGAACTCGTTTGTTCCAGGAACAACTTTATTGGAGCGCTGCCAGTAAAGATAAGCAGTCATTTCCAGCCTATGGGAGGCGATCTCTGAAGATTTTCTCGAGATCGCAGAGGGCTTGGACGACGAGCTTGTAGAGCGTGCCTACGAGTTTTACTCGCCCGAGGCTTTGCGCCAGCGCTGGCACTTCTTGACCCAATCGGCCATCGGCAGCAGCGCTTCCAGTGTAGACCCCGTGAGGGTGACAGGGTCCAGCCTGGGCAATGGTCCTGGTGAGTGGACAGATCCCCTGGAGATGCCGCATTTGTCTTTCTTTTCAGAGGACGTGAGAGACCAGATCAAAGCGATCTATGACGATGTGCAGGCAAAACTGCCTTCCTCGTATCTTGACCACACAGAGGAGGATGAAGACGAGCCACCCGCCGAGCCTGCAGATTCGGTTGCGCCAGAAATGTCAGTCAGTGGCAAGAGCGGCAGTAGGGGTGCTGAGGGCGAGGGCGTAATCGACAAACAGGATGCCGTCGTTGAAGATGGGGATGTGTCCGTTAGCGAATCCGAGATTTCGGACAGCATGGAGGATACAGCAACGTCTCTTTTCGGCACAGCAGACCTGAACCAGATCCTAGCTGACCTGTCGCGGCCGCAAGTTGATGCTGCCTCACAGCCCGCGCCAGAAGAGGCTCTCCTCATTTGCAATCCAACCAGGAAAGCTTCGGCTCAGGTTCATGACACCGTTCCATCTGACGGCGAGTCTGAGCAGACATATCAGGCGAAACGCCGAGCCCTCAAAGACTCGAGCAAACGCTTGGTGAGAAACAGCTTTGGAGCTGAACAAGATCAGATCAGGCAGATGCGCTCCCCGCCCGAACCGCCGAGATGCAAGGTGAAATCGGTCACATCACAACTCGCTGGAACAGCCAGAGCTTTGCAGCAGTTGGTTGACCCGAACGACAGTGAGGCGGAAACCGATGCAGCAGAGACAGAATCGAATGCTAGCGAGGATGTGGACTACGAGGAAGACCAGGATGTCCGCATCCGCACAATGCTGCAGCTACTTCGCCAGGCGCCAAATGGCGATTGTCCCTGGGATGTATGGCTCGAGGCAACACGTGCATGGCCTCAGCTCAAGATTCGCTTGGATGATCCAGACTTCTCCCGACGTGGGCAAGGCCTGCGGGTTGAGTTTAGTGTAGACAAGCTGAAGTCAGCATTGGAGGAGGAGCGGGCTGAAAGGCTTGCCAGAAATGAGAAGCGCAAGGAGAGACGCGCCAAAAGTGGGGTTGTCGAGCTGATTCGCGAAGCTGAGCGACGTAGAGACATCATGAGCGGGCGCTGGGACTTAAATGACCTCATGTTGGTCTCAACATAGGCCACGGGTCAGGGTCCCAGGACCCTCGAGAGCGCTCGTTGGGGTGCAGATGCAGCGCCTCGAGCGGCTGCATGGTAGAGCAATTTCACCAACTGAAATGACCCAGTTGAGAGAACTTAACCGGAGGCACTTTCAACCGGAACAAAATTTTGTGCTTGTGCCACGTTCTAGCGTTGTAGACGGCAGCTGGAAACTGCAGCTGGAAACTGATTTTGTCTCTGAAGGAGCGACGACTGGGCCCTCGAAGCCACGAAGGCAAGAATGAAGGTGTTTTTTCGAGAGTTGGGAAGCGATCGCGTGCATCAAAGCGTCCTGAACGCCCCTTCTTGCTTCTACCAATATAGAGGATCCTGAAAGGATGTTGAGATGCTTTGGCATTGGTTTATTCGCAAGCGAAGCTGTTTTCACAGGCCGGGATTCCTGTGTAACGAGCTTTATTTCTACCGATGCTGCATGCTCCTCTCTTCATTGGCAGTTTGTCTGGCAAGATCTATATCAGCATGTGTGGCTTGTGCCCAAGAATTCTGCGTCACCGTCCCTGGGCAACGAGAGCGAAATGGGGCCTTACAGCACCACCCAAGCGTCACAGACTTGATGACAGCATGCAAGTGCAGAAGGGACATTCAGCTGGAGATGCTGAACTTGCCGTTGTGTGTGCGGAACAAACGCGATGAGACAGCAGTCAGAGTGTCCCCCCAAGCAGATCTTGGAGAGGCCAGGAGACTTAGGAGACCGGGCATGGAGCATGTGACAGCATGTGTGAGAGGAAAGGTTGACCTAATTTCGAGGGCGGGGAGGAGCAGGCGGGACCGGCGGCGCAACATCGGAAGGCAATGGAAACAAGAGAGGGTGTTGGACGACGGCCCACGTTGAAAGCATAATTGTCCTGACGAAAAGACTTCAAAACAGAGCTAGTTCTTTGTTTGCCCGGGTCTTCAAAAAACAGTAAACTCCAGATGTAAGCTTTTTCGGCGGTCCATAAACGAGCAAGCCACCGGTAGTGCGCTTCGAAGAAAAACATCCATCGGTATTTCGTTTCGGTTCCAAATCTCGGGACTTCAAAAACATTCAACTCCACTTGTTTGAGTCCTGGGTCTGTGTAAGCCGTCCCTATGTTGGCCTCCGGTCTTCAAAAGCAGCTCACTGGAGATTTCATTGTTTCTGCGGTGGTCAGTAGCAAGCAAGTTATCCGTACCTCGCTCCCGAAAACAGCAAGCCATCGGTACTTCGCTTCGTTTCCATACCTCGGGTCCTGGGTCTGTGCAAGCCTTCCCGATTTTTGCCTCGCCAATTAACCTCCAGATGCAGTTGTAGTTTTCGGACGTCCGAAAACGAGCCAGCCATCGGTACGCTTCGGTTCCCATGTCGGTTCCGACCCCCACAACTAACTCCAGACTTAATTGTGCGGGCCTTGCGTCCCTAAGTTTGCCTCGAGTTTGTTAACAACAATGAACTCCAGACTTAATTGTCTCTTCGGTAGTCCGCAAACGACGAGCAAGACATCGTAAATGGCATGCCAGATCTTGGGTCTTCGACAACAACGTTAGATCTAGTTGTTTCGGTCCTCCGGGAAGCAGCTCCGGATTTAATTGTATTGTCGGTTGTCCGTAAACGAGCAAGCCATCGGTACCTTGTTCGTAGAATGGCAAGTCATCGGTATTTCGTTTTCGGTTTCAAACCCAAGCAAACAATTACATCCAGAGTTAGTTCTCCTCAGAGGACCTCAAGCAAACAGTTAAATCGAGAGTTACTTCCCCTGAGGCCCCTAGACAACAAGTAAAGCCAGAGCTAATTTTCTGGAGAAGGGGTTGAACAACACGGACAACTAGCTCTAGACTCAACTTTCTCCTTCCGAAACCCTTCGAAAACAATTAAGTCCAGAGTTAATTGTTCGGGGGGGGGGGTTCGAACAACGACGAGTAACGACTCGTACAGAGTTAATTGTTCTAAAACTCTTGTTTCCATGGTTTTTGGTGAAACATCCTTAATTGTGTCCGGCTCCCACGTGGATTAGCTTTGGGGCTGGGGCATTTTGTTTTCTCAGGCCTGAGGGCGTTGAGGCAGCCAGAGAGAGAACGGCGATGGACAAGGCTGAGATGAAGGCCGTGGAGGGCGGCTGGCGACTTGAGGCCTCCTGAGTTGCCGAAGCTGTTCCATCCGCAGCAACAATAGTTTTGAGATGGCTCCCTGCGCTGTGGCGACTGCCGAGAGGGTATAGTATACGACATACGGTATGTAGTAGTGAATCGCCTCTGGATTTTCCACACCTTTCGACAGCAGAAACACTGAACGGAGTGCAAAGAAGAGATGAAGTGAGGTGCCATGGCCGGCAGGCCTTGACCTTGAAAGCGTCGCCACTTAGCTTCATTACAGGGGCACAAGGTTGTGTGCTCCGGTGTGCATGATTTCAGCGCGCAGTGTTTTTCCATGGGGCCCTTTCTCACTGGTGCTCACATTCGGTCAAGACATTGTTCGCAAATTGCCAGGCGTTTTTCTTTTGCAGTTTACTTTGAGGTTTTCAGCGGGATTTGGTGGCCTTGCCAATCTGGCGTGGCTAAAGTATTTTTTCGCAAATGAGGCGAGATTTTGTTTTCAATTCTAGCATTGCCATCTTGCAGAGTAACAGCATGAAAAGCTTCAACAGTCAGCAGAAAAAAGGTGACGTTTCCCGTGCACAAGCATTTTTTCTACAAGCTTTCGTGCGTTTCTCATTGCAGGGAACATGTGAAGATACTTTGCGGATGTTGAGATCACAATGGTGCTGGGAGGTTGTAGCGTTGGATCTGCTTAAGTGTGTCCAAGTGTGTCGTCCTCCTCACCCGCCCCCTTCCCCCCCACGGTCTTGATAAGGGACTAGCATTGAAGAGATTTGAGGCTGACCTTGAAAGCAAAAGGCCCAGGCCCAGATTTGAAGATTTGAAGGGCTGGCCTCTTTAAATCCAAGGCCTTGGATTTCAGCATCGGCTTAAAAATTCAAGGGCCTTGGCCTTTGTGAATTCAAGAGGCCAGGCCTTTGAAATCCAGGGTGCCCCATCTTGAACCCTCGCTTCGCTTCTCTTGATGTGGGTTTGTTTGTGGGACGACCCCTTCTTCATGTTTGTTAGATTTTGTTAGCATGTCTTGGGTTTGGGACGGGTGACTGACTTGAGCCTTGCATTTTGTGCCCGGATCCTTGCCTGCCTGCGAGTGAGTGCGAGAGTCGAAAAGAATTTGAGCCCCGCCCGCCCGGACGACTTGAATGCAAAATGGACCCGACGGGACATGCCCAAACAGTTGAGTTCCGAATCCCGGATTGCCGGGAAGACTTTATGGAGGAGGCCCCCACAAAAAGTTGGTGTGGCAAATCCACATTGACAACCAACAGTTTTCATCTTAACCCGGTCTAATCGGATTCATTGTGTTTTGGGTCTTCGCTGGCATAGTTTCAAGAAAAAAGCATCGCAGCTTTGGCTTTGACTCTTCTCCATTCAAGGCCTACTGGATTGTTGCACTTTGTGTCTGGGTTTATCTTCCGCATGGCAAAACTTACTCCCTGAAAGAAGGCACACCAGTCTGCAAAATGAAAAAAGCCGCACCGACACTTGAGCTTCATGACAGAAAACTGAATGCACCTCCTTCAAGGGTTAGACACCTCAGATGAATGCCTGAGGCCCAGGCCAATAGCCATTGTCACCGCTAAAGCAGGACCTCCAGATCTCGGACACGGAAGTTTCTCTGACCATGGACGGAGGCCTTTTTGATGGCGCGAGTTGAAAGACGAAGTTGTTTGCATGTGCCCACCAGAATGCATTTTAGTTCTTGCAAGGCCAGTCGCTTTTCGCCTGGCCGCAGCCTGTGGATTCGTCACGTGCTTCTGCAAGCCTCTCCACGAGGCTTCGGTTTCTGGCCAATAGTGAGTAATGCAGGGCCTAGCCTGAAGTTGATCAGAAGCCGAAGAGATACCATGACGAAAACAAATAGCACGCAGAGAGTGAAGATCGAGCCGTTAAACGAACAGGGTATACTATTGCCCTCACGAAAAATGCTCCGCGATTCAGGACAGGAAGCTTCGAGCCCGATACACGAAACTGCGGCGTTGGAAACTGCGCGATTCAAGACACTGGCTGCGAGCGATTCAGGAAACTGAAATCTCGCGATCCGTGAAACTGCCCGATTCAGGCAATGCCCGATTCAGGAAACAGTTCAGGAAATGCACGACTCAAGAAGCTGGCCGATTCAGGCAAGGAACCTGGCACTTCCCAGTTCAAGAACCTGGCAATCTCCCATGTCGGAATTTGCTGGAGAGGGTGGCGGTTAGGTAGGGTGGGGTGGGTGGGAGGGTAAGAACACTCGTGTTGCCAACATAGTGGTTGCCGACCCTACCCGTGCCACTGCACCCTATGAGAGCAGGCATGCCCTCATTGCCTTCATGCCACATCAGCGGCAGGGTGGGGGGCTGGGGATGTTTATCTGACACTGGAGGAATCTGAGAATCGAACCGGACACAAAACCGAATCCATGGTCTCCAGTTTCCCGAATCCTTGGTTTCCAAGTCTGCTGTTTCATCATAGCTTGCACGCGCGGGGCTTCACTTCCGTGTTCATCATGCAGGCTTGTGCATGACCCGGGCTCTGGGCACGGGCTTCGCGAGGGAATGTTATGCACTCTCCGACTTGTCGGCGTCATCTAGAAGAGCTTTCAAGCCAAAAAGGTTCACCCTGCTCGCCATTGCCCGTGCAGGAAAGCGAAGTTGATTCTCAAGGCCCCAAGCCAGTGAGGAAAAGTGTGCTATGGGCTGCACGTCTCTACTCCAATCATCGTGTGCCGATGAATATATCTACACCTGCAGCTCCGATCGATTGAAAGGGATGTTGAAGCCTCGAATCTTGTGGGACTGCTTCTGTTCCTTGTTGTTTGCTGGATGCTGTTCTCTGCTTGGGCTTCATCTCCTTGAACGTTGAGACATGTGCGAGCTCAGGGTCATGCAGGCGGCATGCTGTTGCCTCGTGACACTGTGCCGACACCGGCCAGCCGTGATTTGGTTCAGAGCTGCGGCCGGGACATGGTACGGCTACGTTCCACCTTCTTGTGATTCATGTTCTCTGGACAGCACAAAACAACGTTGATGTCCAATCTTGAATCTTTGCGTGTATTGGAGGGGGGGGAGTCTGTAGCCCAGGCTTCCAAGAAACAGCGCTTCGTGGCTCACCCAGGCCTTGCTTTGCCTCTAGCCTGCCAGCAGGTTTGGCCCCTTGCAGGGTCCCTCAGGTTCCAGACCTGGACATGCCTCCACTGAGGTTGTTCTGAGGGCACTGACCCATATGCAAGTGTTGCAAGGGATGTTTGGCACCCTCGCAGACACCGGTTTATGTCAAGAGCAACAGCACAAAACCTGGCGCAACATGTGGTTTCCAAAACGATGAGAGTGGATACAAGGCATCTCGCTTTGTTCTTCCTCATGGTCATTCGGTGAGGCCTCTTGCTTCGCTTTTAGGAGTGGCATGTGGGAAGCGTTCTCTGCACTTTAGGGGGCTGCCGGATTGCATGTTTGGTGCTACACCATGCTGGATCCACGATATGCGGCAGGACCAGTGGTTGGCCTATGCCCTGCACAGCGACGACGGCAGCTGCGCCAGCGAAGAGGCAAGTAGCCTCATGTTGCTGCAAACCTCACGACGCTCGACTGCGGAAGCAGTGAAAGTTGGCATAAGCAAGAACTACCAGCATGTCGGTACTCTTGATGCAGTTTGTACCGCACTTGGGCAGATTGGCCATTCTCACACGTCGTGGTGGGGTAAGATTTGAACATTGAGGACATACCGTGGAGTCAACGTCGATCCGGCGGAAGGATTTCCCAAAGACAATGCCGGAAGTTATCCAAAGCCGTGGTTACGACGAGGCTGAGTCTGACAGCTGCGGGGTAGCAACAATCAGTCACAGTCAGTAGACGGGAGAAGGGGTGTGCTGTTAGCTTGTTTACTTCGATCATCCCCACCCCCTCACAGTAACAAATTGATTCAAACACAGGTCGATGCAGAGTGGGGTTTCATGTGACTCGGGGACTACTCGTCCTCCTGTGTGGGCTGTGCGGTTGGGCAGTCTAGGGATACATGGAAGGACTTTCTGCGGGCTTTTTTGGTATTTCTATTTTTTGGGGTGTAGTGCACGAAGTGCACGAAATGACATGTTGCGAGCATCGCGTGCGTGTTCGTTCATGCAGGTTCTTTGTGTGTCGCCGAAAAGTTTCCAACCCTCCCACTCCGCCCCAATCGGTGCGGTGGCAAGTAGTCTCACGCATCCGACGTTTTGTGGTCGGTACGAATAGCCGCCTGCCGACTCCCATGCAAAAAGAGCGAGTGTCCTTTCAATCCTTTCACAAGCACAGCTTTGCGAGCATGTCGGGGGGGGGGGGCGGGGGGCCTCCGAAAGGCATTGCGCTCAACCACAGCTAGCCACTTATGGACTTCCAGGCGAACCTCCTCCATTGGACAAAAGGTGCGCTGCCCCTGAATCGGATGAATACCTGCCGTCCCCTACTCCAGGGTACTCGTCCGAGCCAGCCTCGACATCGCGACCTGTCCTTTTGCTTGATCCTTGCCCTGCCCTGCCTCCGGCACCGCCTTTTTCCCTCCGTCCTTGCCGAAGCCCATCGTTTTGTGGCTTGTGCTGTGGTTGGTTAGGGTGGTGTCTGCACACGAGCAGTCCCCGCCTGTGAGACCTTGATTGCTGGAGGGGAGACCGATCTCTCTGTGCTTTGCCGGCGGACTACTCGTCCATTCGTCGCCCAAATTGGAAGGCGGTTCCGGAGATTGGCGGCAACATCTTGCAACGGCTGCAGCAGCTTAAGCTGGAGGATGCGCTCAACCGTCAGGGGTCGGGCTTTGGCCGCACTCGGGTGAAATCCGGAGATGCCAATGGACTCCATCCCCCGTATGTTTGATTCACTTCGCTGTGGAGCGAGGTACATGACCAGCAGTCCATTCCTAGGCTGCTTTTGCTAGTTTGCAGGTGGTTCCGGTTTGCCTGCCTCTGGCACGGTTGGCCGGACCTTCCTGACTTGTCTGTAAACTTTGTCAGCCGAGATGGAGGAGATGGCGGCTGCAGGAATCGCCCCAAGAAGATCAGTCTTGCCTGCTCCAATGCGGGATCAGACCGAGCTTAGATCTTTGGTTCCGATCATGGGAACAGGAACCAGTCCGTATTTCCAATCAAAAGTGGAGAAAGGAAGAAGGAATCCTTGTCAAGCACGTGTGCTATGTGCATGATGCGTAGAGGTCTTGTCGCCACCCAGTCCCAGTCCCAGGGCTGGGTTTTTGAGGGATTGCAGCTGATGTGATGCAGGCCGCCTTGCAGGAAATGTCGCATTACATGTCGAGTTGTGCATCAAGCGACTTCAACAAGTGGACGAGCCTAGGCATATTTATGGCATGGACAGTGAGCTGATGAGTTCCTGCACGCCACGTCATGCGAATGCAAGGCTTTGCGTTGCCAACAAGTGCCAATCAAAGTGGAGTGGCAATTATCACGCAGAAGCCTCGGTAAACGCCTGGGTATTATTGCTTCTCACTGTGGGCTTGGCATGCATCGCAGCCAGTCCTCTTGAAATTGCGTCAGGTTGGTTTGTAGGGTGGAATTTCTGAGTCTAGCTTCTCCCAGACTGCAAGAAGTCATGTTCCAATCTCGAAACCCCCCTGCGATGCAGCATTAGCTCATCGGCCGCTGGGTCTTAGTAGGGGCTTCAGTTATGAAAGGGGTGCGGGTGTTTCCAGCCGTCTTTGTCGGGCTTGCATGTGACCTCTAAAACCGACCGACCTGGCCGTTATGGGCGTGCTCTCAACGACATATAACGACATGTTCGCCGAAGCTGGAAGAGTGACTGCAAGTTCCTGCGTTCGCTCTCCAGCCGTCTTCGCCGCATTACCAAGTTACGTACTAGAGTAGAAGCTGGCCGCTGCAAAGATCGTCGGTCTTACGATCTTATGTTTGGGCATGATATGCGGCGAGAGGGGAAAACGTGTGAGTACAACCCCACACCACGGAGAAAGTTACTATGGAGGTCCTACGCCATTCGAAGCATTTTTCAAGTCATCATACTTGTCTTGTGTTTAGCGGCCGTGGAAGCAGAATAAGGGCAGCAATCCATTGGACCTTCAACTGCTGAGGTGGTCGTTGGCGTTCCTTCAGGATGGGGAGCAACAATCCGAGACTTGGACAGTTTCTTGACCATATTGATTCTGCCTCTTTGCCGTGCGATGCTCTACAATCACACCAGCAGCTGTGTTCAGGTGTTTTCTTGAGCTGGGGCGATTATGATGCATGGATTTGGTCTACGTGATTCAGTTTAGTTTGCATCGAATAGGCACATGGAGTGTTCCGAGTCCGCGATACGGTCCCTTTGGATTCTGAAAAATGCACAGCACATGCAGCAGTCTTGGCGCAGAAGTTCCGCAGCAGCTTTGCGATGCTTTGAGGAGGTTGCGCTACGTTGCGCGATGTTGCACCCTGTTGATCAATTCCATGCCGCAGCTTCTGTCTCCAGCCGAATGGCACGGGGGATCACCTTACTCTAAGCTTACTCACATGACCGCAGCCTGTCGGCATCAATCATCTTCGAGTCCTTGGCAGCATTGTCGTAAAGTCAAAGGCATTGATGTGTGTGTGTGTGTGTGTGCCATTGGTTCTTGCCGGGATGTGCAAGCGGAGATCTCAGGCACCTTACCAATCGAAATGCACTTGTTTCTGGACTTGCCGGAGGATGTGTGTTTGCGTGGCTGCTCGGGCTGCAGCTTGTTTTAGGAGAGCACGCGGCTGACATGGCCTCATCGACTCCACCGTCGTTACCCTGTCTCTCACTCGAGCAAAGCAGCAAATCCCCATCAGGCCAAAGCTGGCCCAAGACTGCTGCTGTGCCTCAAAAGCATTATCATTAGACAGATTGCAGAGCTTGGAGGTGGCCGTTGGAACTATGCTAACAATCGAGTCATTTTGTGACCTTCAGGTGTTTGGCTGTGTGCGTGGAGGTGGCGATTGCGGACGCTTCAAAAACTGCAAGCCAAGAGAATCAAGAGAACGGATTCCGCGACCTGGCCTGAAATTGTGCGAGCTTGTCGGTTTGCTAGATGCCGCCGTGACAGCGGCGAGTGGGATCAGCGACCAAGGAGAAAACGCTCTCGACTTTCGGCTGCTCAAACTGCACAAATAAGCTGCGGCGAAGGTGTTCGCTGCTATGGCCTGCCATTAAGGCACTGTGAGAACGGCAGTGCGAAGACCAGCCAGTGCCTGTCGGAGGTGCGCACTGAAAATGATCATCCCAACCATCCGCGCAAGTTTTGGCTGCAAAGGCGGCCATCGAGCGAAACGGAGCTGCCTTGGCTATCAGGACACGCCCATGACCACAAACTTAACAAGCTGTACTAAAGCCTGGCTGCTGCGGCTTCCCAAATATACCGGCTACGACGCTGGGCGTAACAAAGGTAACGACAGCTGAGAGTACAGGTGTTGATCGTTTTGATAGTCATGTTTCAGTCGCAGGACATGGCAGCAGACGTGCTGCAATACCCCCAGCAGAGTTGAATCCCTTTCCAGAGAGCGTTGTGAAGGAGTTTGCTGCAGCAGAACATGATGAACACGCGCTCAAAGAAAGCTGAGATCACAGGCCACTACTAGTTTCAAAGGGCCATGACATGAGGGTGACCGTGTGTGCGGCTTCGCTTCGCCAATGTCAGTCAGCATTTCCGTGTTGAGGAAGGCAGCTCTCACCGGACTCTTGCCCAGAGCAGTTCACCGGTCATCAAGGTGTGTGAAAGTATCGAGCAAGACACCAGGCAACCATTGGAGCATTCTTGATTGGCAGTCCAAGGACGAGCTGTCCCTGATCGTGGTGCACGATCTGCGATCAGAGGAGATGCCGCTCAGCGATTAGCATTGAGATTCTTATCCGCTTCTGTTTAGGACTTGGCGGCTGGATTGTTGCTGCCCGTGCTCATCATGGCATTGCTGTTGGTGGCTGGATACGTCTTCTTTATGTTGCAGAAGGGCAGCAACAAGGCAGTTGAGCGGAATGTTAATGGATATGAGCAGCGGCAGCAGACAAGATCGCAGCTTGAAGCAGATAGATCAATCCGTTCGCAGGCGGTTGCAAAAGGTTCATGAGCTCCAGAAGCTGGGTGTTGACGGTTAGACTAGAATATGACGGCCACTGCAACCAAAAGGGTCTCAAGGCGTGACAAGGAGAGAGTGTTCATCAAACCCTTGTTCCCTCGTGCTGTAACTTCCTGAACAAGGCTCAAGGACTCACTACCCTTACATCTTTCACTTTTTACCTTCCGGAATCTCTCTACCCTAGACCTGGAGATGAAGCCTCAAGATCATTCCCCAACAGGTTTTGGAACCTGGAGAACGAAACAAAGAGTGCTGGATGGGATAAGGAATTAGCTGTGATAGCTGTGTAAACCGTGAGTCAATGGTCAAGGAAACGAGACTTGAATGGCTCCCTCTTTGAGACACAATTTTGGAAGATGAAACAGAGGACTTCCCTGATGCTAGGGTCTGTTAGTACTGTTAACCGTTGATTGGTTCCCTAGTAAGACTCATGCATCTAGTTCCAGCTCCAGCGGTAAGATTCATGAAGAGACGAATCATTCTGACCTTGGCCCTTTTGGCCGAATGGGAAAGAAGCACATGAACTAAACCCCTTTGTGCTACTGTTGTTCACATGGGTGTATTTACCGCCCGCCGCGTGAAAAATATTTGTTTTAGGGATATGAATTCTAGAGGTGTTCCCTTCCTTCAATAGTGCGCTCACTCATTTCTTTCATGTCGCCTACCAATTCATTCCTTAAGCTGATTTAATCACTAATTATGTTTGTGGAAATAAGGGGCGGTGATGCCCCAATCCCGACCCGAGGGTTGATTTGGTACGGCGCCGCTGAGAACAACCGCTGGTTTTTCTAAGGTGACAATCCACAGGGGTTCTTCTAAGGTGGTTTTCCTAGCGTGGCTGGAAAATCCGACGGTGTTTCTCGAGTGTTTTTTGTTAAGGCGGTGGCTTGAACGACCACTGTGGCTTGTCTACGGCGACGGCTAGAACAACCCATGGTGGTTTTTCGAAGGTGTTTACTCTATCGGTTCTAACGCAACCAGGGGTTTTAAAAGTGGTTTTTCTGAGGCGGCGGCTTCTAAGGCTCCGGCGCTTGTTCACAGGCTATTCTTTTAACGCTGCTGGAACAACCGGTGGTTTTTCTAAAGTGGCGCCTCCTCCGTGTGTTCCAAAATGATGCTTTCTTGCGTTCCAAAAATGACGCTTTCCTGTGTTACCAAATGGCGCTTTCCCGTGTTCCAAAGTCACGCCTTTTCCAATTCTTCTAATTACAAAGGCCTTCGTTCTACTACTAACCCTATTTATGTTGACTAAACTGATCACGGCACATGCATGTACCAAACAGTAGCATCAAGAGCCCTATGGCATTGACATTAAGTGATCTTGAACGTGATTCTCATGGGACACCCCCGAGAATTTGGTGTTCACCATTCAGTTCAACTAATCACATATGATAGCTGAGCTGATTCAGCCTTAATGCTTTAATCCTAGCGGAAGTAAGGTCCTTCGTTAAAATCGACTCAATCAAGGTTATCGCCTCACTGCGTGATTCTTTTAGTGGGGCTGCCCGACGACTTCATTTGATTACAAACTCCTTAGTTTGTTTTTGCCCTTTGTTTAAGTTGACTTGCTGAATTGCCTTGTTTTGCTTCTGGAAATATGGGGGACGCGTCAGCATGCATTGTTCTAACGGAGAGGGGGGGGGCCTCCAAGAAATCAATCGCAAGTTAAATGGAGCATCAGTCGCGAGCCCAGCCCCCCAAGTACTGTACAAGCCATGGAGCACATTCAAAAGTCGGAAGTTTTGAATGTTTTGAGTTGCAGGCAACTTGAGTTTGTTCGCAGGCCGGGCCAGCGGCGCCGAATCGGCCACTTGCCGTAGATCCCACAAGGAGGACTTCACCCTCGCTGCCACCTTCGGTTCGCACAGTGCAGGGCTTTGCCTCTTTGCCTCTTTGCCTCTTTGCCTCTTTGCCTCTGCGTTGCAGATGCCAGCCCAGTGGCTGTGTCTGCGAAATCAGGTGCCAGCCATGCCTCGCCCTTCCCGCTTATCTGCAACCCCGGCACCGAGCACGGCAGCACGCTCCTCGCAAAATCTGGTGCTGTGCCCTGTGCCTGGGCAGCATGCGCAAAATGCCACGCTAACTGGGCCCCGATGAGATCTTTAGTGACGCTTCCTTAGCCGTTTCGTTTCAGTTCTTTGCGTCAGCCTGGCGAATTCTATAGTGCCTTCTACTTCCAGTTTCCATGGGGTTGCAGTGGATGTCAGGAGCTCATCGTTCCCGACAAGGTGGAGTGCACACTGAACATACCAAGGCTGCTACTCGTGAAGTCGCGCCTCGCATGCACTGGTAAGCCAGGTTGCGCTGACTGGCAGCGGTTTTGGAGCTTTCGTGAAACATTCTCAAGCTCCAGACAAGAGCAATGATCTGCCGCTTTGAGATGCTTGTTGCTTGGCAAGAATCTGAGGAACTCGCGACTAAACGTTACAGACAGCAAAGGTGGAGCAGTCGAGCACTTGGACGACAGCAGACTGAGCACTTCCATGCGACGGATGTCCAGACAAATGCAGATGTAGCACGTGGCATTGTCACTTCTGAAGGTGTTCCGCGTGGACTTTTCTTATGTGCCAGAGAGGGATGGCACAAGGCACTTGTGAAGACCCGGCGAGTCCTTCGCTCGAAGTGGTTCCGGCCAGGTTGGTGATGAAAAGCCCCACCGGGGATGTCACATTTGGCATAGCTTCCGACTGCAGCGTGATGACACAGCAGGCTGGGACAAAAATGATCTACCGTGGAAGCCCTGTCTGCTTTTGCGATGTTGTGCAGGGTTCTCCTACACAAGCTGCAGCTCTGTCCGTCATCAACCCGAAGGAGCATGTTCAGCTTGTTGCCCTCATGTCATGGCTCTCCATGGCCCTCCCCGATTGAACTTGAAAGATGCACCTTTAGTCACTTTCGGTCGAGCATGCCTGAAGGGGTGTGTTTTCATCTCTGCATTCTCTGCCAACGTCCGCAACTTGCAGGATCCTTCAAGGCAGTACTTGCTGCAGCAGAAGGCTAGAGGAGATTTCCAAGTCTCCAATAGCGCAGGCCAGCTCCTCCGCATCAGGCTCAGTCGTTCTCAGTCGTTTCCATTCTTTGCTTTTGTGCCTTGCCTACAGTGGCCGACAAGCTGCATGTTTAAGGGCTCTTGTCAGTGGCTGGCGGCTACAATGCAATTGACGATCAGGAGCTTGGTGAGGAGAGGCTTCGGCTTGACAGTGGGACTTGCGATGCCGCAGGATCAGCTCCTGGCTTTTGCAGATCCACCGCAGCGGGAAGCTGATCAGGTGGCTCCTAGGTTGCAGCGACATACGCTTGCAGGACATGCATGCCATGAGTATTGCACTGTGCCAACACGTTCGCGCACAAAATGGCGAGATCAGTTGATCATTCTCCCCATGCAGCTTGCGTTGCATGAAACATGACAAGCTCAATGCTGAGCAGGATGATGTTAGAAAACATTGGCAGCTTGAACAAACCTTTCCTGACTCGGGTTGCCACGGAGCCCGTGCGGTGGCCTGGGCAACGGGAGAGTTGCGATACAGATGTTACTGTACGCAATGTCTTCAAAACCGAGTCGTGGGTCATGCCTGTTAGCTGAGGGAGTTGCAGGAGCATAACTGGCATAGCCGCCGGATTACATCCAAACTCTATGTTAAGAAAGCTGCATGGCTGATAGAGGGTCCAGCAAGTTTCTTGGATGTCGGGCAAGGACACAGAACGTAAGGTTACGAAGGCACCGGGAGTTTAGGGCAGGAAGGAAACGTGGCAGGCAAGCGTCTGAGCCCCTGTCATTGATTCCAGCGTTTCTTGTTTTGATCACACCTCTTGTTGATTCCTCAAGCTCTAGCGGCTACTGTCTCAAGGTTTAATTGCAGCCCCGAGCCCGTTTGGTACAACCTCAGGCTCGGTGTGGACCTTTGGTAGATGCTGGATTAATGGTCATGCCAAAGCCTTACAGGGTCTTTGCCGTGAGTTGATCTTGACATCGTTGTTCGTGGAAGCGATCCTCGTCAGTCGTGCTTGGTGCCAAGGTGCTTTATGGGCATTGGCGTGCTGCTGAATGATCAGAGCAGGCACGGGAGATAGACAAGTCGTGTTCCCGGCTCGTACTCGTATAGTCTTGAAGGTTCAAACCGTGTTGGCTTATTTCCGATCTTTGGAAGGCATCGTTAGACAGATGCACCCCTTGGAGATCGGGTCCTGAGACTGCCTAAGACTGCCGCACTCCAGAGTCCAGAATCAAGAAAGGGCGCCAATGTCCCTTCGAACATCTCTTCTTCCGAGTGAACGCAGTTCTCCCTATTTGACATGCGACTGCAAGCCTCCGTAAATCATTTTTTGCACAGCTTGCTTCAACAAGAAGCAACAGCATGTCAATGGGCACATGCAGCCGGCCCAGACCCTCGCATGATCTCGCATGTGTTGCTTTAGCCCACCTCTAGCAGCGCACGGCAATACTGCATATCTAGGCCTTAGGCTGACGACAGAAATTGCTGGGCCAGAAGTTCTTTAAGTGCATAGCCCCACGTCCGCCAGCATGGCGGACGACAAGAGAGCTACTTGACCAGACAATTCGGCAAAGGTTTTGACGACATGGCAGCACGTTTTGCCAAGGCTTGCAGTTGCTCTCGTCCTGAGGAATGCGTCAAGGTTGTGATACGATGCCGCCCGTTGAGCGGGCAGGAGAAGATCGACAACAGAGAAAAGATTGTAGACATGGACACTTGCTTTTAATGGCCTCAAGAAACTGGGGCTTCCGGCAGCCATTTGCGCAATGATCCTGAGGTGGTCAAAGATGGAGCCGTCAGTGTTCGTAGACCTGGCACGCAAGATTGCAAGAACTTCACCTTCGATGCTGTTTATGATGAGCACACCATACAGTGCGACTTTTACGAGCACACTGGTTATGCTATTGCCAAAAGCTCAGCTGCAAGCCATTGCACATCTTGACTCGAATTTGGAAGGCGAGCAAACAGTAGTGGTATTGAACTTGCACAAAAAACAAACATCAGCTGTGCACCGTGAGGTGGAAAGCTTCCTGGCAGCAATGTGGTAAAGGGTCTCTGTTCCCAACAAGAACAAATCGTCTTGAGCATTCCTTCTGTCTCAATTGCTTCAATTGAGAGGCGTCATGGATGGCTACAATGGTACGATTTTCGCTTATGGGCAAACCGGCACTGGCAAGACCCACACGATGGTTGGGCCAGCCCAACCAGAAGAGCTGCATGGGGTTATTCCTCGGACCTTCGCACACATCTTCCGGAGCCTTGGATTGAATGGCCTCGGACTTGTTCAGAACCACTGCTTAGTTCGACGGAGGAACGTCGATTGTGGCCAGAACAAAAAATTTCTGGTCCGCGCGTCATACCTGGAGATCTACAACGAAGAGACACTTTGCCCGCATGCAGTAAAAAGAGGGCCATTCCGAGTGATGCATTGATTGACAGCTGTCGCTAGGATCCGGGACTTGCTCTCGAAAAATCCGAAGCAAAAGCTGGAGTTAAAAGACCATCCAGAAGGAGGTGTTTTTGTGAAGGACTTGACGAACATGATCGTGAAGGGCGCGCCCGACCTCCAACAAGTTATGGAGGCAGCAGCAAAGATCGTTGAAACTTCTTCTCTTGCTTACTATGCTTTGAGCCAGCTATGCCAAGGTCGGACAAAAGAATCGCAGTGTCGCCAGCACGCTCATGAACAACGAATCCAGCAGGTCGCACTCCATCTTTACAATTACAGTGGAGATCCTGGAAAAAGGAGAGGTCTGCTAAATGCATGAGTAGGTGCTAGCATGGTTGATACTGCAAGGAGGTTCTAGTTTTTTAGGTTTGAGCGATAGTGTCGATATGTTGTAGCGCTGTGGCGTCAAGGTTCTGGCTGTCAGCAGCACCGTCAAGTGTCTTCATTCCCGAATCTCTTCGTGTAATGCGATGCAATGGAGGAATTGATGGGCAAGATCATATTCGAGTAGGCAAGATGAACATGGTTGACCTGGCGGGCTCTGAGCGGCAAAGCAAGACTGGAGCCACTGGAGACACCCTGAAGGAGTTTCGTTTCGAAACTTTGCATTCGAGCTTTGCATTCGGGCTCGTAGAATCCGCAGTGCCGCACTAGGTGGCCCGGGCCAACTGTGTCCTGCCCGCATCCCGACCCCCGCACAGGAAGCAACAAAGATCAACATGTCCTTGAGTGCTTTGGGAAACGTGATCTCTGCCCTGGTTGACTCGAAGACATCCTTCGTCCCCTACCGCGACTCGAAGCTCACGCGCTTGCTTCAGGAGCCTTGCGGTGCGACCCAGAATCCTCACAATCGTTTACCTGGCAGGACTCCCTGGGCGGCAACACGAAGACGGTCATGTGCGCTTGTATCGGTCCGGTCGACTACAACTATGACGAGACACTGAGCACACTCCGCTATGCCTCGCGAGCCAAGAGCATCAAGAATAAGCCAAGGATAAATGAAGATCCAAAGGATGCCATGCCCTCTTGCGGCAGTAGCTGTCAGTAGCTGTTGAAGGCGTTCTTTATGAGCAATTTGTTCTCTAGCTGCTGCATTGTCAAGGATTCGTGAATTCCAAGACGAGATCACCCGACTGAAGATGAAGTTGCAAGAGCGTGCGAATGCGGGTCCCGGCAGCCCTCCTCGAGCGCCAGGTGCACCTGGGGAGCCCGAAGTTATCGTGGAAAAGGAGGTGGTGGAAGTGGAGAAGAGCCTTCTCCTTCGGCTGAGTTTTCACACGCATCACGACTGCAGCCTTTCTTAGCTTGAGTAGTTGACTCAGCCCAGGATTGTCGAGAAGGAGGTGGTGGTTCAAAAGGTTGTCCAATCAGGAATTACAGAGGAGGAGGTACAGCGCATTCAGTGGCAGGCAAGGAACTACTTCGTGGTGTTATGGGTTACCTCAGATAAGATGGCCAGAGTCACGTTGCTGCACTCTTCTGCAGGTGGAACAAGAGAGAGCGCAGATCGAGATGGCTGTAGAATCAGAAAGGCAGGCGATTGAGGCGCAGAAGGAGCCCGGCTGCAAGGTTGCCGTCGGTTTGGACCGTTTGGACCGTTTGGATATGCTTGGATATGTTTGGATCATGCCTGATTTGCAGTGCCGGCCACTGCTTTGAGCCATAGGCCATGGCAACTCAGGAAATGGCGGATCAGGAAAAGCAACAGCTTCTGGAAGCTTTGGAGGAGAAGCAGCGGCTCAGGGAGGAGAAGGCACAGCAACAGGAGAAGATGCTGCAGCAGCTCAAGGCAAGCCAAGCTTGGAGAGTCTCAGAGAGCGTGAAAGTCAGCGTGAAAGTCGGGGTGAAGTGTTCAGCGCGCACAGATGTTCAGGCCATGGAGGAGAAGATGCTGGTTGGAAGCCAGGTCATGGAGAAAGCTATGGCGCAACTTGGCTACCCCTGTGTAGCCTGTGTACAATGCTCAGTGTCCCAGAGAAGCGAATCACTGTTGCCAGACTGTTGCAGTCGGAACTTGAGGCAGGAAGCAGACTTGAAGAAGGCTGCCATGGAAGTGGAAGAGAAGAAACGCTTGGAGCAGCGTATGCCACTGCCTCGGATCTGTACTGTACAATGCCAGGCACATTTTTTTCGTTGGAACTTCTCTGAGTGCGACGCGGGCTAGGGCATGTGGTTGTTTGGGCAACGTCTTCGCCAAAGCATGCCCTGCATTTGCTTACTTCCATCCAACGTGAGTTTTCCAAAGCCTTCTCTAAATCGTTCTGAAGCCTTGCGATCGCTATGATTTCGGGATGCAGGGAAACAGGTTTCGCTCAGGCCTTTTCCTGGGCTCACACAGGTTTGATTGCAATTCTGCAACAATCTGCTGCGTATGCCCGCCTCTGTTTCGCATCGCGCCAGCCCAACGACTTTGTTCCCCAGTAGGCCAGCGGACTTCGGATGTCGTTCGATTATTTGGAATGAGATGCAGCCCCCCTCCCCCCCCCCCCTTCAACTCCGGGAAAACCAGGGCTGCTTCTCCTCGCTTATTGGGCTGGGGTCGACACCTTGACAGCGTGCACGCTGCTGGTCTCATGCAGTCATGCATGCCGCATGCGCACGGCCCTGCAGCTGTTCACCTGTGCAATGCTCATGGACCTCATGTTGCGTTTGCGCAAGTTTGGGATTCATATCTGCTACGTAAGCTGTGAGCGAGTGGTGAAAGTAAGCCGTGCCAACGAGCCGATGATTGGTTGTCCTTTATACATCCTCTACATCCTTCGGATCAGGGGGCCGGCGTTGAACAGGCCATAGCTGGCAGGTACCAAGTGGTTGCATGTTCAGGCAGGGGTGAGGTGAAAACGAGGCTGCCTGCCTCACCCCAGCTTTTGCACAAGAGCGATTTAACGGCTACCTGCCCGACAATTTGGCAGAGTCAGGGCTTTGACCACCTGTCTATGCGGTTTCTCAGGCAAGAAGAGCTGGAACAACAGCAGGAGGACAAACTGAATTTAGAAGAGAAGTATGCCTCGACGGAGGAACAAGTGGCCTGGCATTGATTTGGAAGTCCAGGGCAATATTAAACTACAGGGTGCTCAGCGTACTGGTGTGTGTTGAATTCAACTCGGGGAGTCGCATGGCGGTGCATGCTCACTCAAACCTTGAACAAGAGCTGTTTACAGCATGCCCATACTAGCCGTGCATGGAACAAGGTGCAAAAGATGACTGCCAAGCTTGAGAAGCTGTGGAATCGCCACAAGCAAACTCAGCAGGAAGTACAAGATCTACAGCAGGAGTTCCAGACTGAGCGTGAGGATATGTTGGAGACCATCCGAGAGTTGCGGAAAGAAGTGAAGTTGGTATGTCTTACCATCGAAAATTTTATTCCGCTTGAACACTATCAGCAGATCGTGGAGCGTGCGCACTATGATGAATCTTCTGATGAGTGGGTCATCAATAACATCGATCTGGCTGGAAACCGGGTCCGAAGGCGTGGACGCATTTTGGACGATGATGGGGATGCCCGGCTTGGCATGCGGCGCACGGGACAAGCAGATGGTAGCCCTGACCCGGTGGCAATGATGAACGAGAGACCCAACGTCTACTTCGCTTACACCGAGGATGGCGGGGCGCAGCGAGCGGAAACCCGCCCTGCGCCAGCCAAGAATGGCAAATCTCAGCGCATGAAGTCGGCAGGTCGCCCAGGCACAGCTTCTCGGAAAGGTCGAGCTGTGAAGGGCGTTGGCACCAACTTCCTCCACTCCCCAGACCCTGAGGAGGCTGAGGAGGCAGCCTTCCCGAAGGCACGTGGCCTGGTCAGAGCCGGCTACCAGGGTTAGCGAATGTTGCTATCAGCCCCAAAATTCTTCCGTATTCGCTGTAGTCGCATGGACGTAGCATCATACCCAAGTGCACTGGTCCATGTAGGGGTAAAGCGCCCGGAGATCGGCACACCGGCTTCTTGTCTCACATGAGGATTTCCGTACCGGTCGTAGGCAGGTCCAGCGCACCGACAGGCCATCAGAAAACTTCGCAGACATTGAGAGTAATGATTTGAAGTCGTGGTGGTGCCAGTTCCTGCCTCAACTTGCAGAGGCACGAGCCCTTGTTGTACAGAGAGCAGTGCCGGTACTTGCACGTCTGCAGCAGCTTTGCAGCAGGGTTCTCTGAAACAGAGTGTCGTCAGGGTGGCCCACCATGCAGTTGAAGTTTCACAAGTCGCGGGCCGGGCTGGTGATGGTGTGGATCCATTCTCCTGTAGAGCTCGAATTGTCGGAGTCGCATGGAGTCACCATCCTGACCCAGCGGCTGCTAGCGGCTGCTTGCGCAGTCATGTCATCCCGAGGCTCACAGAAAGGACCCACGAGGGAAGAGCGATTGTACAGCCAGACTTATCGCATGTCTTTCACTCACAGCAGAGTTTTTCACTTGCACAGGTGTGTAGCACATGTGGCATGCCCTGAGCTCGGCTCGCTCTGGTGTCCTGTGAGACATGACCGTCCAGAAACCCACAGGCCAGCCCGAGGAAGCCACGAAGCAACGCAGAGGGTTTGGCACAGTTTGACAACAGTCTCAGAAGAGGAGGATTTTTTTGAAGCGGCGCGCGTCGAATGGCAGGTGGGGATGCCAATGGGGATGCAGCCGACACTGGTCCAGTTGCGATTCCGGAGGACTTCACCATAGACAAGGCTGGGGCATGTGCGCTCCAATTGCTCCTGCTGGAATTATTCTGGCTGACCTTGTTTTGATCTTCACCGACTGAAGATGAAGCACACTGCGTTTGTGAGAGTTTTGTGAGGATGCTCGGTACACTGGCTCCGCAGCTTGGCTGCAATTCCACTTCCTAGGTCCCTAGAAGGTCCCAGGTACTATCCAGATTTTGATCCGGCAGACGCTTGATACATCTTGAGACCAGCAATGTCACGGTGATGGCTCAGCAGTGCAGAGCGTGAGTGTTCAAACTGACAAATCGAGCGAGTTTAACTCTCGAGTTCAGTTGTTACTTGTACATCGCATGTCAAAGCAAGGCATAGGTATCAAACCATTTCGATAAGCATCAATAAAAATTTGATAACATCAAAAAAGGATCTGATAAACATCAAAAATAGTTTGCTGGAATGAGCTAGGTTCCTCCGGGACCCTGTTCTTCTGGTCTGTAGGGTTCTTCCGGACGCCTGGTCCCCGCTGTTCTGGTCCTCTGGTCTGCTGGGTTCCTCTGGTCCCGTGGTCCTCTGGTCCCGTGTATCAGTTTTGAATATCAGATTATGTATTCAGATGTAGTATCCTTCTTGTTTAATCTTCATCTTCGTTGATATTTATTTGAACCTTGCTATCCAGTTTTGAATATCAGATTGTGTGTGCGGATATAGTATCCTTCCTATTCAATATTCATCTTTGTTGATCTTCAATTATTGAATATTCCTAGTATTACAAAATATCAGAGTATGAATTCTGATACAGCGCCCTATTTTCAGTCCAATTGAAAAGATTGATGTTAAGAGTCTTGTTACTAGTAATAGTGCTCTGAGCAGAAGGCTGCGACCCCCCTCCTACCCGGCTTGTCTTGAGGCAGTTCCCCCATTTGCAAACACAATGCTCGCATGACGGGGTTTGGAAAGGATTCACATGGAACTAGGTGCTTAAACAAGCAGGGATGGGGGGGGGGGGGGGGGGGCTGCGCCCCCCCCATTTGCAAACACCACGCTTGCATTGGAAAGGATTCCTATGATTATCGCAGCATGCATTGCACTAGGCTTTAAAACAAGCGGGGGGTTGGGCGGGGGACGCAGGCCCCCCCCCCCCCAATTGCAAACGCCACGGATTCATATGCTTTGTAGCAAACTTTGCGCGGCTCACAGCCAGATCCTGAAACAAGCGGGGAGGTTCATGGGTTTGGAAAGGACAGCCGCGTCATAGCGTGGTCTGCTTACTACGCTTTTTGCCCGAGCCTCGCTTCATGAAGTTGACCCCGTCCTGGTCCAAGCGATGTCAATCTGTCGGGGCCTTCAACTCCCTCGGCCCGCGAGAAACGGAAGTTTAAGGTCGACCTGTGTCGACCTCCATTCGGTGGAGGGTTGCAGGGCTATGCTGGGCAGGGAAACCCACGATGGACAACGGGCGGCTTGCACGGCCAAGGTCGGGCAGAAGCCCGACCGGAGGGCTCGGATCGTATGCTGGTTCTAAAAGGGACCTCCATGGCAGCAGGGAGTTCCTCACGCGTCTTCAACTGGAGCTCAGTAAGATCGCGCTTCTCCACCCAGGGACATCCTTGCTAGTGCGTCTCGTCTACTACCATCACACTCACCGTTGGACTCGTTTTACGAATGAATTTCTCTTTGGGGATTCCATAGGGCGTGAGGTCTCCCTCCCTTCAAGGTGGTACATCAACTTCTTTCGATACCGCGATGAATGCTACTTATGTTGCATCCGAATATCGAAAACCGATGCGAAAGCAGTTGGTTTTTTCGTCTGCAAGGTTTTTGCTTGCACTTGCCAGCTGCTGCCAGCTGCTGTTCTTTGCAATAACTAAAGTCCGGATGGTGACCGATAGTGTGGGCTGCGAAGTGCTCAGTTGCAGATGAGGTAATTGACTTCAACAAATGGAGAGGGTTTGGGCACATAGCCCTGGACCAGAAGGATCGGGCGTCGGGAAACTTTGATGTCATGGGATGTGGACAAAGCACTTGTCAGTGACATGCTCTTTTTGGATGGTGGAAATGCAGCATAATCTAGTGCTGCCAGGAGGTCGTGCCAGGGGCAACTTGGAGTGCATTAGCGCAGCTGTTCCTGATCATATCATGACTTCGCATTCTCTTGGCCAAACTCCGTCATTAAATTTTTCAGAGCTATTCGCCCCAATTGTCACTATAGTGCTTCTGCGTCATGCATGATGTGCCCGTGGCCCCGGGCACGACATGTTAAACCTGGGCTGACATGTTTGGGCAATGAGGTCGAACATGGTCTAACAGTCTGCAGGTCAAACTTGTTAACTTTGCAAGGTTTGGCTTTGGCACGCAATCCGCCTTACTACTTCAGCCTTTCAAGGACAAAGTTTTTGTCCACTGGAACAACATCCAGACAGAGGACCGATTCCCCCGCTTGCAGCAGGGGCTGCAGCTGCTTCGCCGGCAATTCAATTTGGCGGGCCGCAGCGAAACTTCGTGTTTGTGTTCGATTGCGTTCGACTTGACGCCGCCTAAGGGTGGAATTTGGCCTTGTGATTTCGCAGGGCTGGACGCTGGGCGACCATTTTTCAAGCTTTTGCAACCTTTTGTTTGGAAACCCGCTTTCACCGTCTGTTCGCCTAGCCTGGTCTGGCAGTGCGGTGCCCAAGGCGGGGGTGGAACAAACTTCGGTCACTGAAGGCCAAGACCGTGACGCTCCCCGGTGGAGGCAGTCCTTCTTGAAGCAAAGAATGGGGCAACACATGGGCAACACATCGTCCTGCAGCAGTGCAGGCATGGTGAACATCCAGGCTTCCTGATCGGGACAACTTGCTGCCCATGACATGCTGGAGAGCTTGTGCGCAGTACCGCTTGCAATTCACTCTCGATGCAAGTTCAGAAACAGATATGTTGATCTCATTTGGCCTTCAGTTATTGCTCAGTGGCATATGGCATGAGTGCGTTGCAGTGCGCCTAGTCTAGAGGTTGCGGTGGAAGGAACGCGTCATTGATTGAGTTTGTAGACCATGTAAGCAGATGTCTGGTTGCAGAGCTTCATTCCGAAAGGCTGCCATGGATGCGGAGAATATGACGAGCCTTGCTTTCATGATGATTGTTCGGTACCGTTGTTTTGTGTTTTTGGCCATGGCACCTTCCTTCTACTTCTGCCTTGTGCTGTAGCCAGTGCAACAAATGTGAATGTTCGAAGGCTTGGTGAGTGCTGGCTGCTCGTGTACCGCTCCAGTCTCCCAAGCCCCTATGAAGTCCCTGCTTTCAACTCTGTCTTTAAGTTCTCTTAACAATGTTCGCGCAGTGCCATCCACCGTGCAGGTTTGCCAGGTTTGCCACCAAAATGCTCAGCAACATGCTCTAACGATTTCAAACGCTTCCTTGATTGCTTGAAGTTTTCTGGAGGAAGCTTGGGTTCACGCCCGGGGTATAGCGCCGGGAGATGCTTTAACGTCGAATAGCATGGCCGGCAAGTCACCCTGGTGCGCGTGCAAAGAGTGATCAGTCGGGTCACAGGCTTCCGTGGCAAGCGGTCCTAGGGTGATTTCTGCCACACATCCTTCGTCCACATCGTTGATCCGCTTGACCCAAGCGCGCAGATGTAAAACTAAGTCAAGGATTACCGTCGGGTCTCTTGGAACTAGTGTTCCAACGACATATAGGCCGCCTAGGCGGCACAAAGCTGCTGAGATCATGGATTTCCCAAGATCACTGGCGTATTTGGCAGCAGCATTACACGCTTTGCCGCATCCAAGGTTTGTTGGCGCACAGAACTTCCGCTACACTGGCACCGTCAAGAGCCTCGACTGACATCTGAGACGGTTCTGCGCTGTTCTGTGTCTGCTGGATCCGAAACCGAGACCATAACGGCACTTTACGGCCAGGTTTTTCGATCCATTCCGTGGTTTTGGGTGGGCCCGATGCTTGGAAGAAACAACCCGCAACAGGAGTATAGATCTTGGAGAGGCACGATTGCGGGATCTGTATAGGCGTGTGGGGTGAGGTCGTTATAGACGATGGCTACGCCATGGACGAGCCCGTCCCAAAGGAGATCAAGGCCATAAGGAACAATCAGCGGAACCGTCCTCGAGAGAGAGAGAGAGAGAGAAAGAGCGGCGAAGGAGAAGAAGGAGAAGAAGGAGGAGAAGAAGAAGAAGCAGAGTTGAAGATCGAGCATGAATGCACGTCTCGCATATGCTTCATTTCAGTTGATACAGAAGAAGATGGAGATCCTCACAGGTGGAAGCATGGGAGCTCAACACGGGCGGCAAGCGCCTTCGAATGAGAGTCGACAAGTGGCCTTGCCTCAATATGTTTTTCTCATTCTGCCTGTGTGCGTCAGATCACCAAAGCCAAAATCACATTGCAAGTTACTATAGACTATGGCTTTTGCAGCCGAGGCTTGCGATTGAGTTCGGCATTGTCAAAAGCAAGACCTCTGATTGCTTTAGATTGCTTTGGTATGGAGGGTGCCTTCGTGTCATTCCCAAACGTGCTCGAACGCACAGCTACATGCTGCGGAAGAGAGCATGCAAAGACAGAACCGGGCGCAGGAAGGGAGATTCTTACATGGCCTACAATGTCACGCTGCCAGGCTGGGACAGTTTGCATCGCTGATTCTCTCTCTGCCTTTCTATTGGCTTCTGCTGGTTCCCTCTGCCGCTCAACGATCTTTCCCGCCTTGGCTCTTCCACTCATTCTCTCATCCTCTTTTCGAAGTGGGCCGCAAGGGCGGCAAACGGACACTGTAGGACTGCAGGGGCTTGTAGGTTGTTGGAAGATGGCAATGGATAACAAGTTGCATATGTCCTTGCAAGTGTTTTTGTGCAAGCATTCACCGTGGTTAATGTGTCGTGGAGTGTCCTGCATGCCGTTTGGTGATTCTGTGGCTTCACCTGTTGTGGCGCAGTGCAAGCGATGCGTATCGATGCTGATGGAGGTGGCGCGCCAATTACTCAGGAGGCCATGGAACACCGCAAGGAAGAAGGCGGCCATGGCTCTCAGCAGACGCGATGTCCTAACAAAACTATATTTGCATTCGTTTAGTTTCATTGCATCCTAAGTTGCCCAGGTCAGAGGTATACTGGAACCGTGCAGTGGTGGCAGAGGCTTCCTGCACACGAGACCTTGAATCTTGATGGCACACATAAATTGTGCAAATTTCAGATGCGAAGATCAGCCGAAGGTGGCAGAACTGGGGACACATTGTCCCGGATGCCGGCCAAGCTTTGCCACCTGCAGCAACCAGACTGCAGACCATCATAGACCATCACTGAGCGAGGGTGGCTTGGGCCAAGGCTGTACCGTGTAGTCACTTTCGGCGTTGTGCGGCCTCGACGTCGGCCAAGGTGCAAATGAAGCTGGAGGCAGCGGTTGCTCAAGCGGCCGCCAAGGCCGACCTGTGAGACTTCCCCGCATGAAAACAGCGGGCGCATGGTAAGCTGCCATAGCAGCACTTGTGCTTTCAACTTTGACACAGCCTTTCCGCTTTACTGTAGTTGAAAGCTGAAAAATGATCCATGTCACTTCCACAGCAGGCCAAGCCAGATGGAAAGCCTCCAGAGATGTTGCTCTATTTCCGCAAGGCGCTGGCAGTCAGAAGCGCTGTCAGGGAGAGCGAGCCTAGCATGAGCTATATCCCCCGCTTAGCTCCCACATTGCGGGGTTTTGCTGGCGCAACACCTGGAAAGGCCCTTCGAGAATCTTCCAAATTTGTTTTTGGCAAAGTGCAGCTGCACCGCATTGCGCAGCTCATTTCCAAAGTGCAACGTTCAACACTTCAACGCTTCCTGCGGCTGGACGTAGTGACGTAGTGCAGGAGATTTGAGGAATGAACTGAAGGAGCAAGTTCCGTGGGCTTCACTAAAGGCCCAAGACTTGAACCTTGGAGTCATGCGAATGTGGTTTGCTCTTCTGATTCGCACTGGACGGCTCCTGGTGAAGGAATGGAGGAATGGAGAAGGAGTGACGCAAGAATCAAAGGAATAAAACAAACGAAGTGATTGCGTGGATCCTGTGAGAATGCTTTCGGATCTCTTCATATCACATGTCCTCTCGTGGTCATAGTTTCTGTAGCTTTTGGGCAGTCGTTTCAAGAAGTCTGTATGCCTGCCATTTTGCCGAACTAGCTGCCAGGGTCCATCAGCTGCCACTGGTTTCAAGATTCACAGTTGCTTCCCTACAGCGTGGTGTGAGGCTACCCCCCCCACCCCGCCCCGCTTCTGCCTTAACTGCGCAAGCTCAAACCCCCACAAACCCGTGATATGAATCCTTTCCCCCCCAACCCCCCAACCACCCGGGCCCCGAAAACTCACGAGCTTTCTAGAAGTTGCATTTCGACGTTGCAGCCTCGTCAGCAAGAATGACTAGGGCACCGGGGCTAAAGCTAAGACTTCTCACCCCCTTCTATAGTAGCATTTCTATGTAAAGCCAGACTGTAATCGGAGCATGCAGGTCGATTGCGAATGGAGCCTCCGACCAGAAGTTGGGAAAAAGGTTTCTTTTACCGTCACATGCTTACCAGAGGCAAGTTGTGGTTTGTGTTCTCAAAAACTCGGACAACGTGGCCGCAGCTGGACCAAGGTCTACTTAGATGACAAAGGTGCCGGGGCCAAGGATGTCATGCCTCTAGAGGCTGGGCTTGTGTGTGTGTGGCGTGGCTACAAATGCTGTGGAGTTCACGTGGTGTGTGTGTGTGTACGGTCTTGGCTGAGCTAAGGAATGATCGCGCAATGTTTCTGAACGCCCGTGCAAAACATCGAGCCGAGCAGTGTTGAAGCATCTTGCTGTGTGGAGCAGCTAGGAGCAATTCATAAGCATGATTGTTCTTCCCAGAATGTTAAAGAAGAAACACCATTTGCTGCAATGGCTTTGCCCTGGTCCTGTCGCTAGTCAGTTTCGAACATGCCAAAGAGGCAAAACGACATGACAAGAGCTGCAGAGTCATGTTCAGCTGCAGTTGAGCATGGACAATTTGCAGCTGAAGCATTTGCGCGTAGATGTGTCTTGCTCACCACCTCATGCGACCTTTTCTCGCCGTGGGGCCGACTCTCTATCGGATTTTCAAAGGTACCTTCTGGGGGCATGTTGCATCGTTTGTGCTCTGCCACGAGCGCTCTAGCAGTTTGAACATGCACTGACGCAGCGGCTTTGGCTCCATTGTGGGTCTTTGGACGGTCCTGCTGCAAGATATGACCCTGGGGGTCCAGAAGACCATCCAGAAAACCAGCACAGGCAAGTGGCGCAGGAGGAGGTCTCACTCAAGCAGCGTTTGCTTATTGGCAGGTGGAGATGCCAAAACTGCAGCCGACACTGGTCCAATAACGGTCCCAGAGGATTTTGTTATTGACAAGGCCAGGGCAGATTTCTGTCTGACGGTGGGAAGTGTTGGGGGGCAAAGTTAAATGATAGTTAATACAGTGTTAAATTTTCGCAAGTTGGAGTCACGAGGACGCCCGCTACACCGGCTCTGCAGCTTGGCCGCGGCTCTGACCCCTTACATCCCTTACCTGTTCCGAAGGTCAAGCGCCAATGATGGTTCAAGGAATGCTGATGGTCCTGATGTATCTGGCTGGAATGCAACGTGTGTACTCAACTGCGCGATCTCGTTTGAGTTGGCACTCAGCAGACTGTACCCGTGTTCGATGATGTTCGAGAATGTCGATGCTGGTGTTGGTATCGTTAAACGCTGCGCGTCGTGCCCCTCCCGGCGCGCGGAGGCTTTAGGGTTTTGGAGTCCGTGCAGGCATGCCACAGGGGGGGGGGGGGGGGGCTAAATTCAAAAGCTCCATCGAGGTAGCTGCATTGTACAACGCATCACACAAAGAGGGCGGGGAGTGAGGAGGGGAATGAGGGTCTTTTAGGGAGCCTTTGACGCCACGCGGCCGAGGGCCGAGGCGAATTCATATCGATTCCGGCCAGTGGACCAGGTCATTGACTTCAACAAGTGGAGAGGGTTTGGGCACATTGCGCTGGAGCAGAAGGATCGCGCTTTAATGTTATGACGTGTCGATGAAGCTCATATTAGTGACTTTCTTGTCGTACGGTGCATTCAGATGCTGCAAGGGGGTCGTGCCCGGGGCAGCTTGGAATGAACTGGTGCCTCCAATGTGCGATGCGATTGCCGTAGAACTACCGTATACTTCTTCCAATTGCATTCAGTGGTATGTCGACATGCTCAGTCTCAAAGTCTGAGTGCACTTCGCGGGGATGGCGATGAATCCTAAGGACAAAGTGTTCATCCACTGGAAAAACATTCAGACAGATGACCGATTCCCACGCTTGCAGCAGGGCTTGCAGCAGCTTCGCCCGCAACTACTCTGCCGCTCTTTGCCCTTCCCTTGCCGAGTATTCGCAGTGTGCTATGCGCGTGCTTGAACTTATCGCTGAGGGTGGAGTTCGGCCTTGTTGTTTCCCAGGAGTGGCTGCTTGGCAAGAATGTCCGGACTGTCACGTCGATTCGTTTGCACCACGCGGTGGTAACTCAGGCGGGGTTGGAACAAGGTTCGGTCGTTGAAGGCCAAGACTGTGACCCTGCCGGGTGGAGGCCCATGGACTTGAAACAATTTTAACTGCAGCTTGTAACTGGGCCCCGCTGCTGCTGCCATTGCGTGGGCAGGCATGGTGAACATTCAGGCCTGTTGACCAGCCTGTTTGCTTTGTTGATATTTCATTTTTTTTTGAGCTGTGGTTCTTGTCGTGGCAGCAAAGGAGCCGGCTCAGACATCCTCCCTCCCCCAAATCCCCCCCCCACGAGCCAGACCAGCCCCGCAGGGATGAGCAGTGGTGGAGGACACGAATGCGCACTACAAGCCAGCCAACAAGCATTGAATTGAATCAGCACAAAGCTAACACAAGCAAGACGCGCCAACACAAACCAGCCAACCTGCCACCACCAGCCCCGACAACGCCAACCTGACGCTACCATGAGCCAAGCACCAGCTCCTCCCTTCCAGACCAAAAAAAGACCAATGCATACTGCTGCTGCTGCTGATGCTGCTGATGCTGCTGCAGCTACTGCGGCTGCTACTGCTGCTGCTGCTCCTCCTACTACTACTGCTGCTGCTGCTGCTACTACTACTACTACTACTACTACTACTACTACTACTACTACTACTACTACTACTACTACTACTACTACCACGACGACGACGACGACGACGACGACGACGACGACGACGACGACGACGACTACTACTACTACTACTACTACTACTACTACTACTACTACTACTACTACTACTACTACTACTACTACGACTACGACTACGACTACGACTACGACTACGACCATGACGACGACGACGACGACGACGACGACGACGACGACGACGACGACGACGACGACGACGACGACGACGACGACGACGACGACGACGACGACGACGACGACGACGACGTGGTACTTTTGAAGCCGCAGAGCCCCGATCCCACGATTTTTGCGGCACTTTCGAAGCCCTACGATATTTGCGGTACTATTGAAACGAGTGACGATCCCACGATATGCGGTACTTGCGCATGCCCTGTCCCGATCCCACGATATCTGCGATGTTTTCGAAGCCTAGAAGATCCACACAACGAAGCCCCTCAGTCCCGAGCCCACGATATTTGCGGGCCTTTGCAGCCCCAGATTCCCATTCCCACGATATTTGCGGTACTTTCGAAGCTCCAGACTTTCATCCCCATGATTAAATGATTTCACAGAACGAGACTTGAAGCCAGTGAAGTACAAGAGCTGCTCGTAGTGGCATGACCCTGCCATGAAGTTCAGAAAGAAAGCCAGTCGCTCGTAGCGAGTGGCGCATTGACATTCTCTGTTTAGATCTGCACTTTTGCCGAGCTCCGCGAAACCTCCAACCCCTTTTATCCGCAGCGAGGTTTTTCAGGATGTTGACCCCCACTCGAAAAACAACAGCCGGACCCCCGGCACGTAAAAAACAAGCAACAGCCAGCCCCCCAAAAAACAACGAAGTGTTGGAGCGTGGTGACCCCTGCGCGGGAAACAACAGCGTTTCTCGCCGCCTGCGTTTGAATCAGTTCGGTAGTCTTTAATCCGAGCACCTGTTTAATTGGGCACCCCCCCCCCCCCCCCACCAACCGCTAAAAGAAAGGCAGGGGTCCGCAATAATAAGACCATGGCAATGTATTGATTCTCGACTAAAAACAATAAGCTGCAGATCCCTGAGGTGCTGTAGCTTCGCAGCTCAGCAAGCAAAAACAAGTTGTTGTATCTTTTGTTGGATGTTCTTGATTGTAACTACTTGTTGTTATTGGCCATGTTGTGTGTTGGTGTTTGTTGTTGTACATTGCTGTGTGTTGCCGTTTGCTGTTGGTTGCTGGTGTTGTTTGTGGGGGTGTTAACTGGAATATGTTGGTGGTTGTTGTTCTTGTTGTCGAAGGGTCGATGCCATAATGCCCGTGACTCCTCAGTGAAGTCAGCAAATCCCATCCATGGACATTTTGCGATGCTCAAGTCTGTATGAATGAAACATGCGGAAATGTGATGGCCATAAAGGGACAGCAAAGGCGAAGCAAGGCACGTTGCATGCAAGTGTGACCAGGATGCCATGGATGCAGAAAGCATGACGAGCCTTATCTATACTGGATCAGTCACGAAGCTACGCGCAATGCTTCGTGATGCATGGCCCGACATGATCAGCACACTGAAGTTGTAAAACATCTTAGGTTCGTTGGTGCGCAGAACTTCCGTTACACTGGCACAATGAAGTGCCCCTGCTGCAACTGAAGTGTCGAATAATGTTGCTGGAAGCAGTGAAAGTACCGCAGGCACAGCTTCAGCATTCCAGGTGCTTCCGCACTACCTCAAACACTTTTGTTTGTGAGTTTGTGCTAGTGCTGAGGTTTTTTGATCAGTTTCGAAATTTCGGTTGGGCCGCGAACCTATGCTGACAGCAACCAAGCAAACCTGGACGGATCTTCGCCTCATGACTGTGGTTGACTGCGGCGAGGTAGTTATAGATGACGGCTTTGCCATGGATGACCCCGTGCCCAAGGAGATCAAGGCCACCTTTGCATCCGGCATGTTGTCTTGCTTGTTTTCATCATCCAGAAAGCGAACAGACGGCCCAAGACGTAAGTACAGGCTTTTGAGAGGCTCTAGACTCTAGAGTCTAGAGGGGTCTTTTTCTAGATGCAGTGACGGGGATGCGCATTCCAATGATCGTTTGTGTGGTTGCAGTCAGTGCCGAGTATCACAGAAGCAGGTCACCAGGCCCTGGATCACCAGTTTCCACATCGTTGCGTAAGTTCAGCTTGGGTTGAGGTGGAAGGGGAGGAGCTGAACACCGCTGGAAAGCCTTTGCGAATGAGGATCGACAAGCGCCCTGGACTGCTCTGAGGGACCGACTCAGACGGACACAAGTTCACACTTTAATTCCCAGCATTCGTGTGGAATGTGCTCAATTGATTCGCCAAGGCTGGCAATCGAGTTCGGCATTGTCAAAACCAAGACAGGGAATGCATTTCATGCATGGCCGATAGTGTAGACAGTTGGGAGAAGCCCGGGCCCTATTGCCATGTGGGGATGTGCTGAGTGAGAAGGAAGGGTGATGCCTACATGGCCTACAATGTGACATTGCCAGGCCAGGTTGCAATACATGTGCTTTTGAGTCGCTGCTCATTTCATGAAGCTGCAGGGGGCGAAGGGAAGCTTTTGTGAGTTTGCAGGCCAAGTTCATTGTCCGAACACGTTTGACAGTTGCCTTGTGAACACAGGTGGCACGCCCATCACCCAAGAGGCGATGGAACACCGGCAAGAGGAAGGCAGCCGAGATACTCAGTACCAACGTGCCAACAGTGCCAGCAGTGCCAACAGCCTTGCACCTTGCACTGTTGCCTCAACACAGAGATTGCCGGGGATCGTGGAATGTTGGAAAGGGCGATCATGGACGCCTCTCAGGCCAGAGGTATACTGGAACTGTGCAGTGGTGGCAGCGGCGGCTAAGCTGGAATCCAGTTGCCAGCACGCATTGTCAAAAAACCATGGCATGAAATGGGGTCTTGTTATGCCTTGTGAGATGTGTCAAGAGGTGGCAGAATTGGGGGCACATCGTCCCCGATGCCGAGCAGGTCCTGCCCGCTGCAGCTTCTCGACGGCAAAACGTGAGTGAGAAATCGTTAGTTGAGGGCGTGACTCCCTTTGTCAGTCATTGCGAGGTACAGGAGAAGCTGGACGCAACAGTTGCGCAAGCAGCCTCCAAGGCCAAATCTGCAACGGTACAGTCGCACGCCTTGCCTGTTTCCTGTTTTCGGTTGTCGGAGAGCAGGCCAAGCCCGACGGGAAGCCTCCAGAGAAGTTACTCTACTTCCGCAAGGCTTGGGTGGAACAGAAAGAAGCCAGCAGTCCAGGCTGAACAGTGCAGCCTCAGCGCAATGAATAGGAATGATGGGCCCTTGCTGAAAGTGAAGTGCAGCTTCGACATGTTTGGCTTCAGCCTGAAAATGAGTGCAGCAGGACGACTGTGAGTGGAGTTTTCGCCCCGAAGTTGGGAAACGGGTCTCTTTCAACGCTGCTCGGCCTCAGTGAGCATGACTCATGACGCATTGAGCTTTGGCGGCATGTCTTTGTGACACGCTCTTGTTTGTCGTTTTTCACAGTTGTCAGGTATACATCGACGACAAAGGGGCAGGGGCCAAGGATGTTTTGCCTGTGGAGACTTGGCGTTCTTGTGGTGAATTTGGACCGAAAAAAAGTGTTTCCCTCAGCAACACTGATCCTTGCCGTGAGCTCTGTCCCCGCCCCGAAAAAGATCTACAAGGCTCCAAATGCTGCCGAAATGCACCTTACTAAGCGGGCTGTCGCCCGCAGCCGTGCGCGCCCCGAACCAACAAGAAACAGGGTTTCAGCGCAAATCGGAGTTCTTTTTTCTCCCAATTGGGTTTATGGTCGCGAAGAGAACAAGAACAGCATCGAAGAAGAAGAAGAAGAAGAGGAAGAGGAAGAGGAAGAGGAAGAGGAAGAGGAAGAGGAAGAGGAAGAGGAAGAGGAAGAGGAAGAGGAAGAGGAAGAGGAAGAGGAAGAGGAAGAGGACGAGGACGAGGACGAGGACGAGGACGAGGACGAGGACGAGGACGAGGACGAGGACGACGACGACGACGAGGACGACGACGAGGACGACGACGACGACGACGACGACGACGACGACGACGACGACGAGGACGACGACGAGGACGACGACGACGACGACGACGACGACGACGACGACGACGACGACGACGACGACGACGACGAGGACGACGACGAGGACGACGACGAGGACGACGACGACGACGACGACGACGACGACGACGACGACGACGACCACGACGACGACGACGACGACGACGACGACGACGACGACGACGACGAAGACGAATCAAGAAGGCGCCGGCGCCGGCGACGGCAACGGCAACGGCAACCTACTCGTAGCTACAAGGTCTAGAGATAGAGAGAAAGAGAGAGAAATCGGGGGGCCCCCAAGCCCCGAGAAGAAAGAAAGAAAGGAAGAAAGAAACAAGCAAAAAGAAAAAAAGAAAGAACGCAAGAAAGGTGGGGTGGGAGGGTGGGTGGGTGGAAGTGGGTGGTCTTTGCTGGCTTCCTACTTGCCTCTTTTTGCTGGCCCTGCCACCTACTTGCAGGAATGTTTCGCCTTTTTTTGCTGGCCCTTCCGCCTTCTTGCAGGAATGTTTCGCATCTTTTTTTGCTGGCCCCGCCACCTACTTGCCGGAATATGTCGCCTCTTTTTTGCTGGCCCTTCCGCCTACTTGCAGGAATGTTTCGCATTTTTTTGCTGGCCCCGCCACCTGCTTGCCGCAATCCATCGCCTCTTTTTTGCTGGCCCTGCCGCCTACTTGTACTTGCAGGAATGTTTCGCCTGGCCCTGCCGCCTACTTGCAGGAATGTTTCGCCTTTTTCTTGCTGGCCCTGCTGTCTACTTGCAGGAATGTTTCGCTTGTGTTGCTGGCCCTGCAGGAATGTTTTGCTTCTTTTGGTGGGTGTGGGGGGTGGGTGGGAGGGGCGTGGGTGGGAGGGGGAGGGTGGGTGGGAGGGTGGGATTCGAGGCGAGTGGGTGTGGGTGGTGGGAGGGAAGGACGACGTGGTTCAGGTATGAGAGCCGAGGCTGGAGATTGGAGGATTGTTCTTGGTCCTGGCAAACTGAAAATGGATGTTGTGGTCCTTGTTCAAACGAAGAGAGTTAAACCCAAACACACACACATATGCATGTGTATTGTGTATATGTGTATATGTTTGTATGTACCAGGAGGTCATGCCTTGCCATGTTTCGTCATGAGCCAGAGCTAAGGACTCATGATCGTGTGGCAAAGTTCCCAGCACCCCATGCGGCGAAGTTGAGCCTGCTTAAAGGAAGTAAGGCAACCGTCGCCTCCACTTTGGACGCCTGAGCTAGGGCTAGGCGGCTTGGCCCACGACACTGTCCACATGAAATCGTGCGTTTATGATTAAGCCAGTAGTGGTGTGCAGCGGTTTGCTCAACTTGTGGTTGTGTGCAAACAATGCCTGAGCCAAGAGCATAGCTGTTGCAGTTGTTCACGCTTTCCTGGGTAGCCTCCATCCAATCCTACAAATCACATGGAAGACTCATGAGCTCCATGCTCCACGGACTTGTGGGTTGGACCTCGGTATTTGGATCTTTTTGGTGTAGGTCTGGCCTGATCTCTTGGTCGAACTCTACTCGTAGCGGGCTGTGACATGCAGACTTAAATCTGCTGCCTAACTGGCCAGCCTGGGAAGGCAAGGCATTGGACTGCATGGGCCGAGTGCTTGCAAGCGGCCACCTGGATGCTTGCGGAGGTGCAAGGTGAGCTGTCCCTGGGTTACGTTGAGCGGCGGTTCATATTGTGAGCTTCATCGAGGGCATTCCTCAGTTCCCAATGCTCACCTTGCACTCATTGTACAATGAGTGCAAGCCACGAGGCGCAATATGGCGCAGCAGTGCAGAATTTCAGCCTAATTTTTTCTTTGTGCGCTGAGATTCATGCACTCGTCCAGGCCGCAGAAAATCACTGGGCCAATTAGGGACCCTATGTGCCCGGTGCCCACATGGATCCTCCCACGTGGAAGATAGGTTCCCTCTGACTTCCGGCCGCAAGAGCCCTTAGAGCCCTTCGGCATGGCTTCACCGGGGGGCAGAAGAGTCAGAATGCGCCATGTGTGACATGAACCTGAAGAGCACACGCAGTGCATGGTGCTCGTTGTCATCAACCTGTGCTGATTTCGCGCATCTACTTTGCAGAACTACCGGCGACATGTTGTCAACGCTGATCTCTCCAGACAAGCTGAAACAGTGGAACGCTCAATTTGTTGTTGCAACGCGCGTGGCGAAACACTTTTCTAGGCTTGTGCCGGGCTTTCGCTTTGGATTCGGCATCTGCGAAAATCAATTACATAGTTGAACCTGGCCTGCGTCATTTTGAGCCTGTGGGCTCGAAGGCTAGCGCTTTTGGGGGTGCTTTTGAGTGGCGCCATTGCAAAAAAGGATTTTTTTGTAACATTTTGGTGTTCTGAGCCCTTCGCTCAAGAGTGTTTGCTCTGTTTGGGGGTGTAGGGCTGTTTGGGTCTATTGCGGCGTCACGTCCACGATGCGAGGTCTCCTGCAGATTTTGAGCTCGAACCAGTACAAGTTCTTACATCTGCCATGGGGGGAGCTATCCAGGAATGACATGTGAACATCCTCCAGGATGCAGCTGAGTTGGCTTTTTGTCCAGGTTGCTTGGGCAGCACAAAGAGTGGCTTTCCTGTCAGCACGAGCAATTGCCTACATTTTGCAGCTGGCAAAGATCTCATTGCAGGGAGGAGTGCTCCCAAAGCAGGGCTGTCGCCACTGGGGGCCAACAGCATGTAAGCCAATCTGATCTGCCTACATCATTCCTGCATCTATATAGCCACATCTGCAAGGCACGCGCTACACCTTCATTCAACTGTGCAGATCCTTCATGCTCTGTGCGGCCCCACTCCAGGTTCTGCTGGCCGTGCTTCTTCCCGTTTTCTGCCTTCGGCCTCTCGACTGCGGCTTGACCTAAGCCAGAGGGCCACCGGCTGAGGTTCGGAGAAGGAGGTTCGAAGAGGTTCAGATGTAGCGCTCAGACTTCTGATGTTCTCCAAGGTGCTGGTGTGGAGGAGGATGGTGTGCGGTGGGATGTCGTCAGACTGGATCTGTCACATGCGCTGGGAGAAGTGCTTCACAATGGAGCACTGTCTCGAGATCTTCATGCCTCCAAGGACACATGGACTAAAACCAAGGGATCATGATGATGATGATGACGACGATGTCACGAAAGCTAAAACAAGCTAGACCCGAGTTTAGTCTAGGTTTAGCTTCATCACACGTCGCCTGGAAAGCCGCACGGATCAGGGGCGGAAGGAAGAGGGCGTATGAAGTGGAGGTAGGAGGGGATCGGAACTTTGAATTGATGCTCACACCTGTCTGTCTGCTTTCATGACTCTTGCACTGCTTGCATGCAAGCAGTGCAATGCAGCCAGTACCTGCTTGATTTAATCTTTTTCGCTGGCTTCGCCCATTGGTTTTGCCGTTTAGGGTTTGAGGGTGTGGTGGCAAAACGGGTCGGTCGATGTGCACCCTCTGCTCTAGCAGGTGCACAAGGGGATTCAAGGGCATTTCAACGGTGTGCAGCACTGCGGAGATGTGGGAGTGGAAGGTGCACTCAAAATTGGCGCCTGGAAGGTAGAGTTCGCCACTCCCCGACTGGGACTTCTCGTCAAATACATTTAAGCGACTACTTGCTTGCCCGGCGAAGGAAACGCGCGCTTTTCTTTTTTTTCTTCGTGGGAACGTGGACTGAGGATTCCAAAGGCCGGGATCCGGCAGTGTCCTATGGGGATGTACAGCTACAGCGTCACTTGGAGCGGCTGCAGCGGCTTGTCCTGGCCTGCCATCCATGCTTTCTGCATCTCTCAGCTGGCATCGCTGGCTTGGGCATATGTTACCCGGGCCAGGTGCTACCAGAGAAAAGCAGGTGCCCCTTGGGGCGCTATTGCCTGCGTGTGCTGGTTTCAGCAGAGTCCTCAGATGAAACAGAAAAACCATGTAAGAAAACTGTCCAGCTCGCTGGACTCAGGTACTCTACTCTGGGTTGAGCTGGGAGGCATGGTTTCGTCGCTATGAGGAGCTGCAGAGCCCAGGGCCGCAGAAAATCACCACATGGTTTAATGAAGCGCAGTTGCCAGGAAGACTTGTGGGGCCTCATCCACGGCAGCAATTGGACAGAGGCTTCGGGTGAAGAACTTCTGACAAGACCACGCCGTTGCAATTTCTGCGCTGTCTTTGCCAAATCTTTGCCAAATCTCTACAACTTCACAGCATGTGGATTCCTGGAAGGCCATCACCGCGGAATGGCCAATCTTTCAGATCCTTGGCCTTGTGGGTGACCTGTACGAAGGACCCGATTTTTAAATTTTTTTTGAGAGGTCAAGTTGCCCAGGAAAGTAGCTATGTCGTGTTTCTTGTGGTTCCAAGCTTCCCCTGAAGTTTACTGTTGCAATTTGGCACCTGGTTCACCCTGCGTACAACATGGTTTTGGCATTGCTGCGAATTGCTCTTTGCGAATGTTTCGGATACGAGCTCATGACGCCTGAGCGCTGCTTTCAGGAGTTGTTCCAGTGAAGTGCTTGTACTTGTACCATGTCCAGCTGGACATGTCCAGGATGGTGCATGTCACGGTGATTTGGACTATCCAGTAACCTGTAACCTCTGAACTTTTTGTAAGCTTCGCCAACTAGTCGTGTGCGGCTGTTTTTGGGGACCTGAAATCGGGTGTGTGCATTGGCTAGGCTCCAGTCAGAAAGACAACTTTCAATTCCCCAAGACCATTCCAGATGTGTCGAACGCAAGTCCGCTTTGGGCGGACAGCTGCCCAAAATCATGAATAAGTCAGATTGTTGGAAGCCCTTCGAAGCGAACATGCAGCGCGCATACAAGCACCAGCCATACAGCAAAGAGCCTTGGTAGTAGATCCAGAAGGTGCTGGAAAAAAAAGGTGCACCTGTCCAGGACAGCCATACCCTGTGGGTTGCGAAGTGGAAGCAGACCTGGGGCGCTTAGCTGCTTGGTTGAAGAGCCCCGTGCAGGCAGGGTTCGATGATTTCACCCCATGGCTTGCTGGAAAAATATTGGCACCTGGCTTGCACAGCTGTTGCTTGTTTGGAAGCCGTCGCTGAACTGCTACAGCGTGGGCTTACGTTGCAATTGCCGACGACACCCAAACTGCCCCAGCTCCAAGCGGCACCTGTGTACAGTCGCTGGTGCTTGATCCTGAAACCATACTGTCGCTTGTGTCACATGATTTGAATGAGCGTGCTCCTCGTGGAATGGTTGATCCCAGAAGGTGGCAGCAATTGTCGGCACCTCAAACGCATGTCACTTTGGGCTAAGTATGGCTAAGCACGCAGAGCGGTGCAACCACATTCCCAACTCTCAGGCCACCTCAAGCCATACGCTTTTCCGATTGACCCGCCTGCAGCACGTTCAAAAGCATGTCCCCTGTGAGGAGGCCGCGGCGATCAGGCAGGGGCGAAAGATGCTGAGAGTTCGTCACGAGCATCGAGGTAGACTGACTAGGTGAGCCGTTCGCACGTCGATGCCTTATCAGAGTGCGAGCAAAGCGAAGCAAAGCAACGCTAACCATGCCGGCATTGACCCGAAGCAGTGTAAATCAGTGTAAATCACTTCAAAACCATCCCAAGAGCGCCAAGAGCATTTCAAACCAGTCCAGAAGCGCACAAGTTGCGCTCCAAGACTGCTCCAAAAGCATTCCACAAGTATTCCAAGACTCCCAGAGAACTCCATGGGACCAAAAGCGACAGATGATCACGTTTCCGCACCTCACAAATAGCTAAGGGCACCGCTAAATCCAAATCCCCTTAGAGGGGAGCCTTGAGCCTGGGAAGGAAAGTGCATCCCACGTTTTCGCGACACGGAGCGAGGCAAGGAAAAAGGGCACGGGACAGGGATCACAAAACAGCGGGAGACACAAAAGCCTAGAATCGCACAGCAATGCAAAAGCTTCGCAGAATTGAAAACACACGCAGAGCAACATGTCGTGCTTCTTGTCGCAGCCATGTTCTGTTGCACTTTGGTTGGCGGCCAAGACGCACGACATGTTTCCACAGCGAGGCCGAAGGCTTCCAACCTCAAACTTCCAAAAGAAGACAAATCCGGACCGTTCCGAGCGGTCCTTTCAACAGAGGGCTCCAAAGACAATTAAACGTGATTCGGAAAGCCGTGCATGTAACAGAAGCTTCGAAGGGCGATGTAGGCTGGAAGGGGGAGTTCCCAGCCTAAGTGGAGCAGGGGAAATGCAGGCAAAGCATTTTTCGCGCCCCAACTGAAAAGTGATTCACGTCATTTCGTCTTTGTTTGGTCTCCTGGAACCTTGAGCAGTGGGCAACATGCATCAAGAAATCTTCAGGGCCGGGGAGAGGGGGGGTCATTTTTGGCTTGCCAACGGTGCCCTGCGAAAAAGGTTGCTTGTTGAAAGCCCCTGTTCCCACAGTGCACAACTCACAACAACCCCAACCCAATCATCTACTGCGTTTTGCTGCGTCGGTGCAGGAGCAATGCGTTGCCTCTGCTGCGCCACTCGTGTGCACTGGCCCGAGCCGGAGCTGCTGCTGCCTTGGCCTCTGCTGGGATGCGCCTTTCTGGCGAGATGGCGCTGGCAATGCCAGGCCCACCAAACTGCCCGTATAGTGTCAGCACAAACGTAGCATTGACAGCCACTTGCCATACACAAGTTTGTGGTGATCATTGCGCCGTTGCGATCGCCAACATGTTTGCCCTTTTGTGTGTGTGTGTGCCTTGTCGATGCAGCGCTTGTAGCGAGGTGTTGATCCTGCTCTCTTGGCACAAAGTCAAGCTGCTCTGCGAGCAGCCGCCAGCGATAGGCATATGGGGCCGAAGGCAACCCCGAGTCACACGAGGACTGGACCACTTTCAGATCCATGTGTTTGCTGATTTGGCCAGGCAATTTTCACGCGACCATTGCCAGCATTTTTCCTGCACTTGGACGAGGCGCAGAAGCGCTTGCGCAGGAAGTGGCAGAAGCTGCGTGAGCGGCTGGCGCCTTTCATGCCTTACGGAGTTGCTTAACAGCTTGTAGATTTTTTCGTGAGTGCTCCGACTTACGTGCTGTGAGTCGCGACTTCATTTCAGGACATCCTGTACTGCGGACCTTTGGAAATTGAGGAGGAGTTGCAGGACCTGTGCAGCAATGTGCAAGGTGACTCTGGGCCCAGCAATTGTTTGAGATGGTCAGTTGGGTTTAGGACTGTGTTGTTTTTGCAGGTGAGAGCTTTGCATGTTGATAAAACCTTCCAGTGGTCAGTCACAAACCAAGGTGATTGCAAGATCCATTACCACCAGGACGTGGACAGGCCTCGACTCCATCCGGGCCCGTGCTTTGCTCACTATCGGTCACTTGGAGCTGTAAATTAGATTCATACGAAGTAGGCGCTTTGGTTTGTGCAGCATCAAGCAATGCGTTCTTCGCAGAACTATCCACCTGCAAAATGCCGTTGTGCATTAGCGAGGGGTCGTCACTGCATGGAGCCTTTCGGGAACTGTTCCAGGCAAGCATCGCAGGCTATCTCGAATATGGACCATGCAGCTGCAATGTCATCAACCGTTCTATTGGCAAGCTGGAAAGCAAGTGGCTCGATGGACCACAATTATTTCTTGGCAGATTGGGGACTGAGGTCAGTCCTTCTACCTGGATATGGGGTGAGGAGCTAACGCACGATGTTCGGCAGCTTTTGCGTGAGCGCCGCCCGACCTCGATGCTGATGTATTTTGATTGAACTTGTTTTGTCATGATGTACTGAAGCTTCGGGCTTACACGGGCGATTCCATTGACAAGGACAGCGATGGGCTCGAGACATTTCTGTGGCTGGCTTGCCTACGATTAACCGTTCACGCATTTTCAATTGGCCGGTGAAGAGAATCCTACACCGACACTGGAAGCTGGCATATGAAGAGACACTCGCCTGATGCTTGTAGCAAGCATAGGTCCAAACCATGCATTGCCTTTTGCTGTGTATGTGCTGGGTTTGTTTCAGGTATGCCACTGGACATGAAACATCTCCTTTCCTTCCGCTGGCCCAGTTCTGGGCAGTGGGAGACACCACTTCTGGCACGCGGGCATACAGCACCCTGGTGTTCAAGAGACTTTTGGATGCAATGTGGTTAGCCGGAGCTAGCCGTGCGAGTACAAGGAAGAGCAAGATTGAAGTGGTTGATGTGCCTGTGAGGCTTGTTGGAGAGCTTGTCCAGACATGAGCTTGAATACACTACTGCCCTGCCAAAAACTCAAGGCTGGTGTGAAGCTATTGTTGCTTGTTGCTGCCTTCTTTTTGTCATGGTAAGTTCAAGACGTGTGTGAATTGATGTTGATATCTGCATAATCGAACTTGCGTTTTTGACGTTGGCGAGGGCCTGGGTCCGTGGTGGGCACGTCGGGGTCCCTGCAGCCGCTCAGCATGATGCTTTGTGAGGGGTCCCAGGGCTGAAGGGGGCCCCAAGGCATCCATGGGGTAGCCGCAGGCTGTTTCAACAACCGTTTTACTGGCATGATACGACGTGTACGAAAAATGCAAAGTTATCTCTGGGGGGTGGTGGGTTCGTACTAGTTCGAATCACACGAATCACCAATTACGAAGTCCCACTTGTGCTTATTTCTGCAGGTGCCTGCTCTTAGTCCGGACCCTCTCGGTGTTTACGTGTGCGCAAGACGCTCTCGCCGACTATTACCAAGACTACTACAATTGCTGTTTACCGCATATTATTTTCTGCTTGTATATGGTCATGTCTCGATACCGATTACTAATACCATTACTGTCGCTTTACAATTTAATGTTCTCATAATGCAACTACAAGTCTAGCAGTATTACGGTATTACTACTAGTAGTATTTGTGGGATTTTGTGGGCGTGCGGGTGTCCTCCACTTGCATATTTGCGAGTACTTGTGTCATGCTTTAGTATGGAAGAGTGCACCCAAAGCAACAAAAGCCGTGCCCAAATGTTAACATCATTCGAGGGGGAAGGGGTAAGCTGTGGTAGCCCTTCAGAGGCCTGTGAATTCTTTGATTCTTTGAGTCTTGGGCGAAGCTAATTGGGGTACACACGGAGCCATTGTGCTTAACGTAGTCGCAGATCAGCTATATGAATGAAACTACTTGGAACATGGCTCACAGAATGCCGTTGAGGATTCATATACTGCCTGTTCTGCAAAAGTGCGTTTTTTCCTAGGTGTTAACTTGGCAAGTTTGTTGTTGAAACTGCGTCCGTCGGACCTATTCTTTACACGACCTTGCGCAACTTCTCGAGGAAATCTCTTGGATTCGGGCAGCCGTTTTGGAAAACTGCATGCACCACGTCCACTGGCAGACGAGTTTGGGAACCTCACTGTTCAGGGCTCATTGCCCTTTGAGGACCATGTGCAACTTCCTTAGAGCGTCCCAGCTTTATCAACGCATTGCGCGTGCACGTATGGTAGCAAGTGGCAGGGTGCTGTCATTACGTCTGCACAAACGCCTCCCCCCCCCCACAAAAGCAAAAATAAAGCAAACAAATACGAAAAGACAACATCTTCTCTGTCCTGCATTCTCTGCAATTTTCCCGGCCTTTTCAATAGTAGAGCCTGGGAACGGCCTGCTTCGAACAGCTGAAATTTACTGCATTTGCAACAGAAAAGCCAGAAATGGGATGCATTTTGATGTCGAGCCGAAGCAAAAGAACTTCCATCGTGCTCAGCACGCATGTCAAAGCTCCCTGATGTCAGGTGCTATCGAACCTTCTGATGGAAATGAGGCCTGTGCTGTGCAGCAAGGTAGTGCTTAGAGAGGCCACAACGATTCAGGGGGATGTCAAGGAATGCGAGCAACAGCTTTCATCCATCGCTCCTTAGAACGTTGTAGCTAGCAGCTTAGTGCATCATCGCCATCCTTAGTGGGCTAGAGGCAGTTTCTCTTCTGCGATGCTTGCTAAGCTAGCCCGGTGACCTTTGGAAGGATGAAGTGAATTCGTTTGAATTTTGCTGCTGGGGGTCACAGGCCGCAGAAAACTGGCTTGTGATGCTGGACCTTCTTGGAAAAGAAGCTGGCCTTCGCGCCTACACATTTTTGCGACTTGGGTCGAAACGTCATCTGCTGCACCAGCTATTGTTCTCTGAAGTTTCCGGCTCTAGGACTGGGGCCTCCCTCGAGAATGTCTACCAAGCAGATGCATGGCACAGTTTTTTTAGGCACCTTGAGTGAAATTGATCGGCGGGCTTGTGGATCATAGCGCAACCTGGAACCTGAGGAAGCTTTACTTTCTCCGCGAATTTCCAGGACCTTTCACATTGAGTCCGCAAGATTCCTGGCCCAGAAAGGAGGCCGGCAATCTCTAGCGCACTGGACGCATCTGCTATTGGCACATGCGATGTCACGGGTGACGGAAAAAAGTGCCGGATTGTGTATTTCCGGCCTCAGGCCCTTCGAATCCGGCACTATGGAACATGAGACCTGTCCGCAGGTCCTTCACAAGAACACTGCCTTTTCCCAACCTCGGGTCATGCGAGCAGCTTCACCCAGAATCACGGTGTTGTCGTCAGTTGGTGCACCAGGCACGTAACCGTTCGGTTTGTTCGCTTGGGTCGAGGGTGACGGGGCGTGTTTGTGAGCGTGTTTGGTGCACATCTGCGGTGTCTCTGTTTTGTGCTGGTGTGCAGGAAGGCATTGAAAACTATGTTCCGCGATGCATCTTGGCCCGAGAGCTAAGTACAAGGAATGTTTAGTGTTGTGACATTTGGGTTCTGTTCTCGCCGGGGGAGAAGACGGAGAAGACGGAGGAGACGACAAAGGAGCGAGGAGACGGCGGTTGAAACGACGGGGGAGACGACAAAGGAGACGACAAAGGAGACGGCAAAGGACCTGACGGGACAAAGAGGGACGGGATGGGACAAAAAGGGACGGGATGGGACGGGACAAAACTTAAGGATGGGACAGGACGGGACAAAAATGGGACAGGACGGGGCGGGACAAAATAGGACAGGATGGGACAACAACGGACTGGACGGTACACAAAGGGACGGGAAGCGAAGGGAAGGGACGGGAAAGGAACGGGACGGAAAGGAAAGGAAAGATAAGAGAAGAGCGACAAGAAGAGAGGGAGAGGGAGAGAGACAGAGAGAAATAAGAGAGCAGAAGGAGGTGAGCCAAGGAGGGACTAGGAAGCTTGGAAGCAAGGAAGCAAAGAAGAGATTGCGTATGTGCCGTATGTGTGAGAGGGCGCACGCAGGTTGGCGGTTGGTGGCTGGCTTTGGACCCCCTTCGTCACATCATTGTGCCGGTGTCCGCCAGCATGGGCCCATGACAAGTGATTTGCCTGGGCTGGTGCTTGGACAGAATGTTCCAAGGTGTACTAAACCTCTACAGGAGTGGCGAGACCGAGCTGTCACAACCCCAGTCTGCTTGTGGAGCACCCGGTCGTTCCAAGCCTCTAAGCATGCTGCGCCGCGCGGGCCTGCGAGGTTTCCATGGGATGCGGACATCGACGCAAACTTCATTGCGTCGCATGATGTGGTTGTGGGGGAGTTTCTGCAGAAGCACAAAGACACTTTGAATACCATGGGCGTCTCGCTCAAACGCATCAGGGCTTGAGGTTTGGAAAGGGCGTGCTTTGACGCAAGAAAGCCATTTCTGATCAGATCAGCAGGGTGCCTCAATGCGTGCTGTTGTGCATGCTGACCAGCATGTCGAGCGGTCAGCGTTTCTGTTGCGGAGGTTGCTTCTCAGCGTGACGTCACTGTTCGGAGATCCTAAGCATAGCGCGACCAGGCTATGACTTTGTTCTCAAAGGCGACCGTGCGGTCTTCAAAACTCTCGCTGACACTGCCAGAATGGACATTTGGATTTCGGGCCCGTCTCGTGCTCAGTGCCAGCCACTTCATGTCCACGAACACAAACAGTCTTTGCAACTTGCAGCTTGAAGTTAGAGGCAGGATGTTCGCGCCTATGACATCCGTGGCAGGCACCGGATTGGGTCTTTCGCAGATTGTAGCACCTACCAAGCCCACTCCAGACACTAGATGGATTTCTCGCAGTATTCACCCAATCCTGCAACTTTCTACACGCTGAGACATTGTGTCATGTTGCAAAATCCAGGCTTTGCGGTCTTCGCGTAAACTTTTTCCGAGATCAACTTGCAGGTTCTGTATGGTGGCACGGCTGCACTTCTAGAAGCATCACAGTGTGATGAAGTCTGATGCGTCGATGGCAAGCGTCATGAGGAAGTGTCCACGTGTCGTGGGCAATCAGATGCAAGAAAACGAACTTGCACCCGGCCAACCTTGCTTGAATCATGCGTGCGCCCGCCGCGTGCAGGCGGTCGGGCTGGCGGGCAGGCGTAGGCGTGTGCGCGAGCGTGCCCATTCTCGCATCCAAAACCCACTGTGCTTCTGTTTCTTCTCCATTCCTTGCCAGTCATGCCTTTCTTTTTTTCCTGGAGGAGCCAAGACTGTTCCAAACGATGTCCTGCGGAACAGACTTTGCGCACCCACCTCTTTCGGCCCGGACCTCCCCGCACAGCCTCAACTTCCTTTCTTGGATTCAACTACCTTCAACTTCCGGCATCCGCGGGGCAGCGCCTTGCCATTAGAAAAAACCAGCTTCCGGGTGAGCTGCTCTCAAGTGAGCCTGTGGTGGGCATTAAAAAACTGTAAGAATATTGATGCTTTGAAGCCATCGCTTCAGCAGCCTCGTCAGGGCCGCAGACTCCACACGCTCCACACATGGAAGTTGATCATAGCAAGACCCTGGCAGGCAAAGATCACGGTCTCACCGAAACTGCATCAGCGCGCGAAAAGCTGGCAAATATCATCCCGAAGATATTACATCCTGCTGCGTGGGATGTAATGGCTGCAGACACATGTCGTGCTCCCACTGCGTGAGCCTCCCATTGAACTGTTCTCGCTAAGCTTCTCTGTCACCGACTGCACTATCAGGCATACGGCCTAGTTAGCAGACTTAGCATCCATCTGAAGGAGTGGCACGTATCTCCCTGGCCACTTCGAAACGAGGTCTCAAATCTGTGCAGAAACACTTATTGTACTTGGCATGTGTTGACACTCTGTACTAGCATGATACTACTTAGATGCCAGTATGCACATTGCGATTTTGCAGATGCCAATGTCGCCTGGTTTCGAGCAAACGGCACTTATCCACTTTTGACATTTTTGGTTGGTGTGAAAAGCCTGACCACGTTGCGGGGAGCGAACAGCTTCTGGCGACTCGCCCACAACTCTCCAGTCATTCTAAATCAGTAATTATCCCTCGACGTCCTCGCAGCGCAATCACAGAATGCCACTGAAATCCTGAATGATGTGGGCGAGCCGTGAAGAGGAGTTGGTGAGCCTCGTCGGATACACTACCGCCCACATTCTCGCCGACATGTTGCGGACATCACTCTTGAACTGCCATTGCACGCCTTATACATCGATGAGGTTGCAAGCGATGTCTGCAAATGTGGCCGGTTGGACACCCTGACTAGAATCACTAGAAACTCCGACCCGCCCATTTTGACCGAAAACAGTTGCAGTTGCATACGTCGGGATCCTAGACTGCATCGGTGTGAGCACAAGCACGGAATGTGCGTGCCTGAAGTGAGTTGCACTTCGGTCTTAGCGACGGCTGTGCTTAAGGTACTATCGGCCTGGTGAGAAAATTTACGGCAACACACGCGGGCAGCTGCTCCACTGCCGCTGGAAAGGACACAACGCTTGCCTGCCAGATTGTGTGAGGAATGGCTTGGGAGTTGGCACAGAGGCTTGGCCTGCAGGCAGGACTGTTTGGCAAGACTTTCGGACCTCCTGTCCTCCTCTCTCTGTCCTCCTCTCCCTGTCCTCCTCTCCCTGTCTTTCTCTCCTTGTCCTCCTTTCCCTGTGCTCCTCTCCCTGTCCTCCTCTCCTTCCTCTCTCTCCCCTCTCTCCCTCCCTCCTCTCCCTCTTCCGTCCCGATCCTCGCCCTCCCCCTCCTCTCCTGCTCCCCCAACACAGAATCCCAGAGGTGCCAAGTTCGTGCGTGATCAAACATTTGCCTCAGGATGGTTGCGAGTTTCCCGACCGGTTTGTACACTTGGCCGAGTGAGACGCGAGACCTGGCACCTGGTTGATGGCCCCCTCACGATGCAGCAACAAGCTGGCCACGAAGTCCAAGACGATCTCTTCGCGGTCCCAGCTGGGCAAGAAGATGAGCGACGACGATACAAGTACTCCGAAGTGCACATGCAGACCAACCTGAGCGGGCTGACCCTGTCAGCTTGTCTGACAGCGTGTGCAAAGCCCGCACCGGGTGCCACGAAGAGGCAGGTCTCGCGCTCCACTTCGTGGGCAATGATGTGGCCAACCACTTGTAGATTGAAACTGCCGGGCAATTCTCAACAGAAGCGGTTTGGAGAGCGCAAGGATGTGCAAAGGTGCCGGTGTGGTGTTGAGAGCTGGCGAGACTTCATCTTGTTGGCATCTCGTGGATGTCAGTGGATATAAGTTGTATGTTGCTGCGGTCGCCGATGGCTGTTGTGTTTGGAAGATGTTGGAAGGCAAAGCTAAAACATAGAACGCACAGCAAAGACAACGGAAGCTTCTTCAAATCACATAGTCGTGGCAGCCTTTTATATTAGTTGGAGGTTGTGATGCGAAGCCGCACAGCGCGTCTTGTTGATGGCATGTGCACCTCCCGCTGGCCTTGCGACTCAACGTGCTCAAGACCCAAGCCATGCCGACTGGAAAGAGGTGCCCACGCCCACACATAAACAGTCATAAGCTTGCGGCATTTCAGGCCTACTTTGCTTAGGATGTCAGATCTGATGTGTTTTCCCTGTTTTCTGCTGGTGTTGTGCGAAAAGGATGGGGAGATGTGGGTTCGGGGGTGAGGAGAACGATACTGGGGGTGGGGAGGGGAAGACGCCAGAGACGCTTTTGCTAGAACATTTCGAACTGGGGCAGCTGCGCGACCTGTTTGCCGAACGTGGGTGTGGCAAGGTGAGGCTGGCTCTGTCTACCGGCATCTCTCTACCAACTTATTGGTGCCTTGGCTTCACCTGTGATGCTGCTCCGGCTGCCCATGGCTACCCGACTTGTGTGTGCTGACACGAATCACATGGGTTAAGGTGGCACTCCCCAGCTGAATCCAGTGAAGCTTCAACTGCGGCCACTTGCAGAAGCAGCAAGTGCAGTAGCAGATTGTTCAGCCCTCCTAACCTCGTTCCGCTTGTCCCACGAAAGCACTGCTGCCTGAGAGCAATCTCAATAGTGCAAGGGGTCCTGGACAAGTTTGAAGGCATCCGGGACACTCAATTAAGGTACTTTGCTTGCACGGTGCCGGAGATGTTGCCTTGGTGTGGGCACCAGTTGCCAGACGACTCCGGGAACGAATTGGAGGCCCTCCAAAGCAAGCCCACAAGCATGATCAAGCACAGACTTGGCATATTCATGTAGATTGCTGTTGCCGCAGCCTGACCTCTGCCAGGAACTATCATTGCCGCCGACCTTCGGGGCCATGGTGGAGCAGTGGTGGATGAGCGTCTCGATGAAAGCCTCGGATTCCTGGCAGCTTCAGACGGGTGCGCAACTGGCGCACTCATGTTCACAAATGAACAAACGCACCAGCCCTACACTCAAGGACTGCAACGGTTGCTGCCCGATGTTTTATCGCTGATTCGCTGCGCCAGCGCCACTCGGAAAGTCGAGATGAGTTGCGCCTTCGTTGAGCCTGGCCCATCCCGACAGCATGAAGCTAGGTGCAGCCCACAAGACTCGAAGCCAAGGAAAGATTGCAGGGCAAAGGCAGCCTCGTCCTGTGCGGGCACTCGCTGGGAGGAGCTTTAGCTGCACGTGCAGCAGCAGAGGCCCTGCAAAGAGACACCATGTGACACCATGACACCGTGACGCCGAAACAAGAAGAATCCGATTGCCATGATGCACAGGCTCTCAAAGCGAAGCCTCCACTTTCTGTGTGACTAGGTGGCGAATTGGAACCACGAAAGTTCCATGCAGCTTGCGCGTTGCAGGTGTAGGCAGACGGCAAGGACCTGCGGTTTTCTTTTCCACAGCATGAGGCAAGCCACCATTTTGCTGGAGTCTGTGGAGGGTACAGCTGCAGAGCTGCTTCCACGCAGCATTGCGTGGATGCAGGTCGTCTGTAAAAGGTCCTTTGATTGTTTGTGGTGAATGCCCATGCCACGCAGGCCAGACCTGGCACCTTCAAAAGCTTGGAGGAGCCGCGTTTGTTCTGCAGCCCAGCGAACGCCGAATAGAACCTTGCCTGGACTGCAGTTTCCAGGATGCCATTGCATGGTCCCTGTCTTCAGGGATGCTGACGGATCCGCAAGCAGCGAGAGAGAACATCCCACCTCGTCTACATCACGAGGTCCAGGCCGGAGCGTGCAGAACAGCACATCATACTGACGTGCTTAACTCGTGCCCCGATTTCTTGAAAACTAACAATCTTGAATCGCTGGGGCGAAAGGTGCCTGGAAATCGCATGCCGGTGTTTCGCCATGTCAATCCACACAAATACCTGAAGATCCTGACAGAACAGGAGATGCGGAGTTCCACAAGTTTTCATGACTGAATGAAGATCGTTTTTCTGCTTGCGTTCAGATGGCGTTTGATTGTCCTAGGTTGGGCAAGTCCCGGGGGTCTCCAGAAATAGATCTGGACCATTTTGTTATGGGGAGGTGGCTGGGGGGGGGGCGGGGAAAACCTGTGTTTGTAGGGACAAGGCGAGTGTAGCAGAGCTTTGGTCAATGGCCGCTGGTCTGCCGTTCGTGCTCGGAAGGCCAGCAACTTATGTGTTTCTTTTGACTTTCCCAGCCTCTCCCACCCGGCTGATGTGCGGATGTTGGTTGAGCTTGTGACACGAGTGCCTGTGAGCAGCGTTCAAAGCGTGCACGAGCGGTGGAGTAGAACTCGAGACGTCTGAAAGCACCCCTGAGCCGGTAGCCAAAAGGAGCGTGCGCGAACGCACTTGGGTCGCTGGCGATTCGAGACTGTGTGGCTCGCAACCCCCACCTTGTCCTCCTTTCACTCACTGCTTTTTCTATTTACTTTTTGTTCTTTCTGGGTTGGTTTCTGTTCCCAAACAATGCTCGACATCGTCGGTCAAACCATTGCTTTCACTGTGTGGTGGAGGCATTGACTTTCAATGGGGTGGAGAGCATATGACATTGACTTGGGCATGACATGAGCGCTTGCCTGTATCAAGCTACGTAGTTTTCCACCAATAGCAGGCTGACCGGGAATCGTGGTCCTGGATCACCAACGTGTCCGAGGCCATGCATCATGGTTGCCGCTTTCGGACCCCACTGTAGGAACTCCTCGTGGTAGTGAATGTTGTTCCCAGGCTATTGCTTGTTGGCCCGAGTGGTTTGATGGCGTGAGTTCTCTCTTCGTGAGCTTGCCCATGCCAAAGCTGCTCATTGTGGGATCTGTGGACCGAATGGATGCCACATTGGAGGCTGCGCACATGCAAGGCCCCTTGTTGAAGGAAGGGAATATGTCTGCTTTGGAAGTTCTGAAGGCTTGGACAAGTTCTTGCGACCTGTTGTGAAGAGCATTGTTCGGATCTAGGTCGCTTCCGATTGGACTTTCAGCTGCAAAGCTTTGCAATGGCATGTTTCATGAGACGGCCATCAGAAGTAGAGCGTGGTGTTGTATGCGGGTGTGGCCAACTCTTGGTGACTTTGGTCAACAGAGGAAGTGGTTCCTCACCCGGGACATTTCATTCATGAAGACCGTCCAGACGAGGTGGCCGAGGCCCTCCATGATGGAGCCTTCAAATTCTGATATAGAGTCACTAACTCCACGGATTGGTTGAGCTCTGACGTCCCTGGACATCTTTACCCTGCTTGTCTTGCGCTGTCCGGCAACTGCCTGCACAGTGGCATCGAGGCAATATCGAAGTTCCTGCAGCAGCTACAACAGCAGCAGAAAGCCTTTGCAAAGCTCATGGAGCGCCGCGCGAATGCCTAAGTGGATCATCCAGTTTGCTCTGCTTTGCTTGAGAGACATGCATCTTACGAGATCTGGTGCTTCAGCATCGCAGTATGCAGGCCGAATCACGGCCTTTGCCTGCCATCGGCCCTGGCGATGTCAAGCGCCAGCGCGCAGAGAGCAAAATTCAACAGCAACGGCGCATTCGTGGAGAGGGCGGTTTGAGTCTGTGCGATGCATGCCATGTTGCAGAAATTGCCATGACATGCCCCGTCGGCCATAAGTTCAGCTTATCTGGCAGGTAGACACGTGTTGCATCAACACTAACACTTACCTTCAACAAGCCTTCAATTCAAAAGCGTCTTCGACATGATTGATGCGTGTGCGTCCTGTGTGCTGATGGACGCAAAGAGCTTGGAAGCTGAACATGTTGAGCACGCGCTGCGACTGCAGAATCTGCAGACAGCTGGTGAAGAGCAAGAGGCTGCAGACGAAATTCGCATGCATGATGCTCAGCTGGAACGTTTGCGCCTCCGTGCCCTGCTTGAACGATACACTGAGCGTCAGCCCAAGGCAGAAGAGCTGGCCGAAAGGTACGAAGCAGAAATCGACCAGCTGTCAGAGGAGCAAAGGCAGCTGCAGGAAGAGAACACATTGCTTGCGCACAAAGATGCCATTGCGATGGACCTTCTAGATGATGGAACTCCGTGTAGTCGAACAAGCGGGAGCCGGACTTCCCGCAGTTTGGGCCGTGTAGGCGCTTCACCGTCCAGAGTGGCCATCCGTCGTACCCACAACCAGGCCAAGGAGAGGCGGCAGTGCGAGGCGAAGCTCATGGCTCTTCGACGCCGGACGCAAGTGAATGAGTGGTACCTGTCACGGCTCAAAGTTGAGCTTCGGGATGTCTCCCGCAGCCTCCAAGGCCGTGAGAACCACTTGCGGGAAATGCGAGAGCGCTTTGACGCAGCTGAGGAACAGCGCCACCGGCTTGCGGAGGAACGAAATCGGACAGAGCGACAGTTGGCTTCAGAGCGTGAGGAGCTTGTGCAATTGCACAAAGAGGCTTTAACTTTGAGGGAAGCCTGCTATCTGCCCGCTCAGCTCAAGAAGAAAAGTAGTACACTCATGAAATTCCTGGAAGAGGGTGGTCGATTGAAAACGGAGAAACACCTACGAGGACGAGAGGCGGTTGCAAAGCTGTACCAAAGCGTGGCGCAGAAAGCCCCTGAGCTGCAGGCCTCTGCAGGCAGAGTGAAGTCAGAGATGGATCTGGCCTTCAAAAGATATCAAGAGTTGCAGCAACAGCACAGCCGTTCCCTTCAGTTGTTTCACCTTACGCTTGCTCGGGGTGCTCTGTCATCCCCTGGAGCACAGAAGTCTGTTTGAACAGCGTTTGAACACTGTTTGAACCCTGGGCGCCTACCATTTGTCACGAAAGCGGCTAAGCGGCGCGGCATGCTCGTTGACTGCGCTTGTCGTCTGAGCGACAGAACGCGGGGACTGTCGTATTTGACTCTGCGGTTCCGTTGGTGTTTTTTGGGCTTGCAGTTTCCCATAGTTTCCCCAGACTGTGCAGGCCTTGGATGCCTAAAACTTGCATCGGATTGTAAGACGTTGCAAGGCTCAGCATAGAAACAGCATGTAAACTGAGAACAAACTCTAATTAGCAAGCCAGAATGGGCAGCGCTGTGGCAACATGCGGCAAGGCTGGCAAGGGTGACAATGCTTGAGAACTTCTCACAAAGCGTATCAAGGCGTAGGGTGATCAGCTGTTTGAGATGTTTGTCTTTCTGATTTGTTCAGTTGCTGCCCTGCGAGTCGAGCCCTGAGCCGAATAAGTGTGTTGATAGCTCATGCGTGTGAGAGTGTGTGTGTGTGTGTGCGCGCGCGTGTGCGCGCGCGTGTGTTATCTTTGGTCTTTGGATGTCTTTGGGTTCGGGATAGGAGGGCATCAAAACAATTGCAGCCAGTCCTTGTGAGAAAGAAGGAACGACGGAGAGAGCAGAGAAAGAGATCAACACATAACATGCTTTCCAGCGCGCACCGCATGCGGAGTCCATAGTGGGTCCAGAGGAGGTCCAATAGGCTCGCGGGAGTGGTATGGTGTATCCATCTGAGGTCTTTACAGGAGAAGCCAGAAGGTCTGCGGCCGCGAGAGTTAAGTCAGGCGTGCATAGCTCCCGCTTGGGGAGGCAGTCTAGAGTCTAGAGTCCAGGAGGGATTGGGAGTTCGGAGCGAAGGTCGGTTTCCTAGGCGCTTGTGACCTTGACCACAAACTCGAGGGGCCCCCTCATTGTTTTTGCGCATATACAGTATACAGCCTATCGATTCATGAAAGCCTTTTAGGCGGGAGGGCATGTTTTTGTCGTAGGAAAACCTGTGTTTCCTTATATGTTGCCGGCCAAACCTAAAACAGCGAAATTGCTGAATGCTCATAGTAGGGGGCCGGCGGCCGGTTGTTACTACTGTTTGAGCGTCTAGACTTTAACCCGTACATAAACTGGTGGTGTTGTTATTGGGGTGTGAATTGGGATCTCCACTGCGCGATCTCGTATTCCGACTTTGCCTCGTGGAGTGCAAGTGAGACGGGTGGGAAAACGAGGTACCGCGCATGCAAACTTCTGAAGGGCATGGTGGATGGCTTTCAAGGAAAGCAACGCACTATGGGCTTCTGCTCATGCAACGTAGGTTAGACGCAGTTGTTCAATGCGGGATGCTGAGTTTTCTGCCAATCGACCGGCGCCGTGCAAAAGCAGGCCGTTTTGGTGTGGGATTTCTGCCTCTTTGCAGTTGTTGCGAGCGAACAAACTTTACGTCAAAGCTTCAGCTCCAGAAGGCAAAGGGGAAGGCGATGTCACCAGCGAGGTGCGATCGGAGTATGAGCCGCATGGAAACCGATGCAACCGTTTTAGAGAATTCGCTGGAGCGCCCTTGCAAAAGCAGGAGCTTCAGGTAGCTTTGAAGGTGGCTTTCGCATTCAACCAGGACCGCTCCCCAGCCGAACACTCGCTGGCAAGGGATGTTCAGGGTGTTTGAGTGGTGTTTCTCCGTTGATGGCTGTGCAAGTTGTGTTTTCCTAGGAAGAGATGTCCTCCGTGAAGTTTCCCTTTGGAGCAGGTCGGTTGCTTAGAGCCTTTCCATGCAGCTAGACAGGCGGCTTCTCTTGGCACTACCGAATACAACGGATGTAGTGAAGTGATTGATGTGCATTGCAACATACGGGCGGTGACTCCGTGCGTTTCCTCATGGCAAGGTCAAGAGCTGGCATTGTCTTGCATAACGAAGGAGTGTGGTCTGGCCAGTTTAGGTCTAGGTTTCTTGCCGTCCTCGTTTCAGGCTGCTTGGATCACCTCATCCGCGCTTCCTTCTCCTTGCCTAAGTTGTCGAGTTGGCAGGAGCAGACTTGGAGTCCCATAACTTTGCGCCAGGACTGGCACAAAAAAGTGTGCGGATCTGTGCAGGTTTTTTTGTGGCTTGTCTTGAGGAGCGTGCTGCTCACTGGGCTGCACAAACAAGGGGGAGCAACTTGTGGCCTTCAGCTTCCGAGTCTCGCTTTGCAAGGCCGAGCCATTGGTGGATGGTAGAGGATGGTAGAGTCTGGCAGTGTCTCAGACCACCCCACGAAATTAACAGTTCAGTACTTGACGTGGGTGGAGGGTCAAATTCAGCGCAAAATTTTTTTTGGTGGCATCATGTGGGATTCTTTTTGAGCACACATGCCTTGCCCGCAAGTTGTTGTTCGGATTGCCTTGGTTGTAGCTTGTAGCTTTGTTATTGCTGTTCTTGGGCGAAGAAAACGTCATGAAAGTGTACAGCAGTCATAGCTTTCGAAATTTGTGCGCTTTCATTGTGAGACTCTTCTTTCTGCCTACTCACAGCTGGATGTTGAATCTGACATCCGCATCTTTCCATGTTGAATTCGCTTGAGGCTTTAGCCCGCTGCTGTGAGCAACAGAAGTATATAGAAGTATGTCCGAAGTCTTTGTGACTGTCGCGCCTCCTGCCACCCAGTCATGTCATTTTCAGGGCCTCCTCCCGCGCCTTTGCCAGTTCCATTTCGTACCTTTCGTGTGGGCGGGGTTGGGTCTTTCCTGTATGGGCTGGACGAGTTGTTTGGGACATCCAGGAAAAGCGGTCTAGACTGGTCTTCGCTCGGCGGGTTGTTGCAGGAATTGCTCGGGCTACTACAGTTACTGCTCGGGCTACTACAGTTTTGGGTGTCGCGAGGCGGGGATTTCGGATACAGGATAACTGCAGTGCTACGAGGCCCTGCACCCAGCCTGCTTGAGGTACCAACTCAATCAGACAGGAAAGCTTCCCTGAAGGCAGTGAAGCTGTTAAGAACGGTTAATCGACATCTCAGACGGTGATAAAGACTTTATAAAGACCATGACGCTGCGCCCCCACATGTTAAATTCTGGGCCCTGCGAAAGGCTCCCTTTGGTCGCTTTGTTTTTATGTGTGCCGTATTTTGTGGCACGTGGTTCTGGCAGGTACAATTCAAAGGCGGAGGGGGCAAGAAACCTCTCAGGAAGCTTCGTATAACCGGTCATGAAACCACTGGACACGAATGGGTCTGAGTCCTGAGCTTAACATTTACATGGAGGATGGTCGTTTCCTGCCGTGATGGTCCAGTCAGTGAAGTGATCACTGGTGAGAACAGTATCAGGGCCTCTAATTGCTGCAAAATTGCGACAGATGCCGTTCATATTGTCAACATGGCATTGCGCGCTGCTGTATGACTGTGCAGGCCGTGGCGAGCATGGTCCGTTAAGATTTGGGCGCCGCATGGAGATGGGGACGTCCAAGAGTTCTGGGGTTTGCTGCAGGCCTGTCCGAAGCAATTCACAGACTGCTTGAGAATGAGTTGCGATTGCTTGCAGCGGCAGGTGCCTTTGGCCAAAGAACACCGCGACATCGAAAAGGCCTACGTGTTTCTGTGGCTTTGAAACTCCCACAGATGTTCGCAGTTGAATGCTCCCTCCGTTGCGGCGTGATGCACACCCTCCTTCCATTGAAGTGTTCAACAAACTAGTTTGAGCCTCCAGGTCTGCCAGGTTTCTTATGCACCCTGTCAAGTAAAGTAAAAAATGATTCGGGGTTCCCGTCCTGAAGCTCCAAGCGCAGCCAAAGGCTACGCTTGAGCACCTGTCCTCAGGAGAAACCCAAAAAGCACAAGCTTGAGATCAGAACGAGCGTAAGGCGTAAGGTTTCACGGGGCTTGGGCAGCTTTTTGGGCCCGCTGGAGTGGGGGACAAATCTTTTTTAGAAACACTAGTCTGTGCTCAGTACTCTTGTGATGTACAGGTGAAGGAAGTGATCAAGGAGGTGCAACATGTGGCAGACTATGCCCACAAGTTCAACCATCACATCGCACCTTGGTTTGCAGGCTTACTTTTCGCAGAACCGTCTATCAACATTCACTTGTCACATGCTTAGCCTGCCGTTCATTTTCACCTCTTCGCTTATCTTTCTTGCAGGCGCATTCTGTAGGCGAGGACCCCGGCAATGCTCCGGCTATCCGCGTGGCTGTGCCCATTGGCTGCTTCGTGCCACTGCTGCAAAGTAGGTCGTGATATGACGGCAGGCTATCCCAACAAGCTTTGGCAGAGTTTATTGGCAACTTCAAATCAATATCCTTTGACCCGGCAACCTTTGACCCGGCAACCTCAAACCAGCATGTACACGCAGACAATCGCGGACATCAATAAAACCTTGAAGAGACTGGCCAAGCCTCAAACTTACATCCTGTTGTTGCATCCCTCGCTGAGTTAGCCCCTGTGCCCCCGACTTTGCCCGTGGTTGTTATCGCACTTTGCGTTCCTGAGTTTAACTGGGCCATCATCCATTTGGATTTTTTACCACGGGAGACCTGAGTTGTACTTTGGAGGTTCTGCACGTTGACTCGTGTGATAACTTGCCTGTTGCTCCTCTTCCCCGAAGCACCTGCCGAACTCCATGTGCTGGAAAGACACAAAGAGATGTGCCACGCAAAAAGCAAGCAGAAGCGCATAGAAGCGGGGATACCTAGCAAAGCACTGGTGCGCTGCGAAGCTGATTTCAACTGCAGCAAAGAAGCGCAGGTGCTGGACAGTATCAATCCGCACGTTGCCGACGCCGGAGATGCTGCAATGCTGATTCCTGGACGACAAAAGCAGGTTTCCCAAGGGTTTCGCAAGGGTTCCCGAGCCTGGCCCTAGAGGAGGTTTTTGTTTCAAGTCAACTTGAGCTAAGCAGGCAGCTCGACGTACGCATGATTACACATGTGTTTTTGCTCGTTTTATTGCCTTGGCGGATATGTGCGGCTCAAAATAGAAGAATCCCGTGTAAGGACTGAAGACCTGTGCGCTTTGGGCTTCTTCCGGCCTTGACCAAAGCTACGCCCA